AGTAGGAGTGTGGTCGTCTTGTTCTTCAAAAAGGGTGACAAGACACGGTTGAAGAACTATCGACCCATATCCCTTCTAAGCCACGTCTACAAGCTGTTTTCGAGAGTCATCACGAACCGTCTTGCGCGAAGACTCGACGAATTCCAACCACCGGAGCAAGCTGGGTTTCGGAGCGGATATGGCACCATAGACCACATCCACACAGTGCGGCAGATTATACAGAAGACCGAAGAATATAATCAGCCCCTGTGTCTAGCATTCGTGGACTATGAGAAAGCCTTTGACTCGATCGAGATCTGGTCTGTTCTGGAGTCCCTGCAGCGTTGCCAAGTAGATTGGCGATACATCAAATTGATGAGATGTCTCTACGAAGCCGCCACCATGTCCGTCCAAGTACAGAATCAGCAAACAAGGCCCGTACCATTGCATCGAGGAGTGAGACAAGGGGACGTTATTTCCCCGAAATTGTTCACAAATGCAATGGAGGACATGTTCAAGACGCTGCACTGGAAAGGGCGTGGCATCAATATCAATGGCGAATACATCTCTCACTTGCGATTTGCAGATGACATCGTCATCATGGCAGAGACGTTGCAGGACCTACAGCAAATGCTGAATGACTTAGCTGACACTTCTGTACGCATCGGCCTACGGATGAACTTGGATAAAACCAAGGTCATGTTCAACGAACATGTACTACCGGAACCGATTGCGGTACACGGTGCCGTTCTCGAAGTTGTTCAAAATTATGTGTACCTCGGGCAGACATTGCAGTTAGGTAGAAACAACTTCGAGGACGAGGTGAACAGAAGAATTCGGTTGGGTTGGGCAGCGTTTGGGAAGCTACGTCGAGTCTTCTCATCGTCGATCCCACAGTGCCTTAAGACGAAAGTCTTTAATGAGTGCGTCCTACCCGTCATGACATACGGAGCTGAAACGTGGACACTTACGGTACGGCTGGTCCACAAGTTCAAAGTCGCTCAACGTGCTATGGAAAGGGCTATGCTCGGCGTTTCTCTAAGGGATCGCATCAGAAATGAGGTGATCCGGCAGAGAACTAAGGTCACCGACATAGCGTACCGGATCAGCAAGTTGAAGTGGCAGTGGGCTGGCCATATTAGCCGCAGAACCGATAACCGTTGGGGAAAACGAGTTCTTGAGTGGAGACCGCGTCTCGGCAAACGTAGTGTAGGACGCCCACAGGCCAGGTGGAGTGACGATTTGCGCGGGATGGCTGGCAGGAGCTGGATGCGAGAAGCCCAAAATCGATCTAAGTGGCGTGCAATGGGAGAGGCCTATGTCCAGCAGTGGACTGCGATAGGCTGATGATGTGATGATGATGTGTGATGTGATTGCACAAAAAAATGTACCTGCTGAGTAAATTGTTTTAAAATAACAAGTATACTGAATGTCTTCTAATATCAGTGGTAATGGATGTGATATCTACTCGTATAATAGCTATGTAATCATGCTTGATGGAAAGCACGCACGGGATCATCCCTGTAGTGGATGTATGATAAATGCGTACATACTAGTTGCAGAATTGCATTCATTGTACGATGTCAGACCAGCAGTCACAACGTTTCTTCGATAGTTGTCACTGAAATTAATTCGCTAAATTTACTATTGTGATAAATTATTCAAAGTTTGCACGCTTGCAATCGAATCGCGGATAAAACAAGAACACACCGAATTTCAGGACGTTTTAAAATTGATGTTTTACGTCTGGATATACGTAATACCTACGCATGAGTTTGATATCAGTATCTGCAGTATTACGAGTAATTAACGTAGATAATCTTTAAATTTCTGTTAAAACTAAAACCAATACCTTTAAACGAGAAATTCTTCTATATATATATATATATATAGATTGAGCTAATATATATATATGGTGGTTTCGGGGGCAATTAGCTAGATTTCATTTTTAGATAATTTACCAAAAAAAAAGACCGGTCATCCAGGTATCCAGGTTTTTTAAATGGTTTTATAGTATAATGTAATATTTAGTATAAAGTATTTATAGTAAAGTGGTATGTCGTAATCGAACCGACTAAAACCACACCGTGTTCAAAGAGAGGGAATCCCCGAGAAACTCGGCAGACCTTGGCCCCCATACGCAGTCACACTATTGAGTGCAGAGGACCTAGCCCTCCTTCTGGTTTAAAGAGATACGCGCGGAACGAGATACGGTGTTTTACCACGGGATTCTGCCACAAATTGCTACAAGGGATCTATACAAATGTAGTAAACCTTAGTAATCGTAAAGGATGTACACCCTAATAAGTCCCTGAGAATCCCGGCAGGTATAGGCTCTCACTCACAGCGTCTTAAATAGACCTATTTAATTATCTATAAAAGTAATTTTCCAAATGCAGAATATAAGTGAAAAATAAAAGACAGGGTCATCATATCTACGTACGTAACCTACTTATTCGTATGTAAATTATGTGTGTACCTTGAACACTAGGGACGCGATGTTTTATACGACATTTCTTAGAAAGGCTAGAGTGTATTCTTTTGTATTAGAGTCATGTTATAAATTTAAAAGATATCTTTTACGTAGAAAAGACGTATCAAAGTTAAAGAACAATATTTATGATTTGATTGTGTAATGGATGATGCATTTGTAATAGAGTGAAATGGTTTATATTAAAACCGTCTATAAGTATAAGTGTAAACCACTGTATTATATTTTCATATTTAAATGTTTAATATTTATGTAAGATATTTCTTGAAGGACTTATGTTTATTATCGTTTAATCTAATCTGAAGATTGATCTGATCTTAGAGATACTATTTATAAAAATATTTATTATATGTTTATTTTCTTGAGGTTTGCATGAGGTGAACTCAACGCCGTAGGCATTTTTTTCCATCCAAAGAAAAGAAAGTACGTTTATTTGTTACGCTTTTACTCCGCAACTATTGAACTGATCCTCATGAAATTTTGCATAAACATTCTTATATAGAAAACGATTTGGTGTATGTTAAGTCCAATAAAAACACAAGTGAAGCCGCAGGCGAAAGCTTAATTAATATAGTTAATATGCCGAATACTGTTTTAATATTTGTCTTTCTCTGAAATCAGAACGGATATGACTTTTATGAATGTTGTGCTGTTGATTATGTGCTCATCTTTATGATGTCAATTATCTTGAGTGTGTATGAGTCTTAACTACAACATTTGTTTTAGTTTAGTTTAGTTGTTTGTAGCCAACAAGTGAATGTTTTCTTTGAAAAAATATATCATATAGTTGGAGTTGCTAGATTTAAGCGGCCTGTAGAAAAAAGTTTGTTTTATTTTAGTTAAGAAGGCAATAATGGAAATTGTCTTAAAGGCAATAAATTAACTTTCTGCAACTTAAACAACTACTAGTATAAGGAAATTTTGGACCGAGATTAAAAGAATTTGACCGTTTTTATCCGTTTAACCGTTCTATAATAAAGTTCTCAGTCCATTTTGAGTTCTGTAAGCAGACTTTGATATTTCTTTTCATGTTTTAGAAACGTCAATAAATGGAATTATTATTAAGAGTGTATAGTATTGAATTCCTTTTATTTCTCCTCTTAAAATGTGGTGAAAAACTGATTGTAATGAAATAACATGTGAAAATTATGATACTTTTCCTTTCATGAAAGAAGAATGTAATTAAGTTCACAATTTAAATATTACCGCCTTTCACAGCAACTGCTTAGTCAAGGGTTACAGGTTTGTTTTAGCCTCACTGCAAATATTTGTTTGAGTGAATAATAAATATTGATATTTGCATTGATCCGAGTGTTTCTATTTAAAATACGTCTGACGTATGTATATAAAAAAGAAAAATATATCTAATCATCAGGTTATCAGTGTTTGAGAACTCAGTACGTACTGTGCCAGAGAGTGCTCTGTGATGCCACATCAAGCCAAGGGCATATATTTAAACTAAAATAATAATAACCTTACACATCTTACACACTCCGTCTGATCTAGGTAGAACCTGTAATTTGGCAACCAGATTTCTGATAAACATACTTATATATTTCTAAATACATACATATTATTATAGATAAATTACAGCCAGAAACAGGGTAAATGATGGTGCTCATCATACAATATTTGTCCTGGGTGGGAGTCGAACCCATGATACCTGACATACTAGTGAGGACCACTAACCACTAAACCAGCGATTTGTTTTAATCAATTTGAAATAAATCGTGGACTTATTTGCCTGTTCTAAAATGAAAATGCAATAGAGGATTGAATTATTATAATATAACGTTAACTGAATTCAGTATTTACTCATGAGCCAATTTATTTAAGGTGACTTTTTATTTATTTAAGGACCGTAAACGTATTACCTACCATGTTATTTATTCTAACATATTATTATGACATCATATTTGTATATACTCGTGTAGTCCTATCCTAGGCATCTATCTGTGTATCATTTACGTAATAAAATGTGGTATTACGTAATGTTTAAAATCCAAAAGGATGTTGCCGCATTTATAATTATTTTAATGGTAATTTTCAGGAAACTCTAAGTCGGACGTAATACACTTTTTAATTGTTTTTTTTTTATTAGGATATGAAAATTATAAAAAACTAAAATTGATCTAATGGAAACTGTAATTTTATTTACTCACAGTTTAGATTAGTTCGTATTAACAAGCTTCAATCAATCAATAAATTCTTAAAAATTACAAAACAGGCGATTTTAGTTTTTATAATTTTTATATACTAAGGTCAATCTCGCAATTAAGACGAATCTAACGACAAAGCTCAAGCCGAAATCCATCAAACAGTTTAGACTACACAGCGTGCCAAAGAAATATACATACATACTAAGACTTGACCCTCGTCATAACCATAAAACATCGAAAAACATAACCCTGCTTGGCGCAGTTGGGTAAAAATATGGGAACTCTTTCTTCCTCTATCAGAGTAAACAATGAAAGTATGCTTGTGTCTTTGGTTCAATATTTATATTAATATCTTTTTTGTTGGTTTGCAGAGGACCATGCAAAAGGTCTTAGTACTTTCACAGTAATGGCCGGACTCGGCGGGTTTATGGGGTACGCACTCGGCGGCATTAACTGGGACGACACCAAATTAGGTAAACATCATTTACTTATTTCGTTTACCGACCACGACGAATTAAGTTGTCTAGCTTGATGAGTTTTACGATGGATTATTTTCGTTTCCAAGTAGCTCTGACATCTTTTAGGTTTTTAAATTTTGTATTATAAAAATTAAGTATTAATTTGTGTACATTAATAGGTTGATTATTATTTCTCTTACTTACCCCACTGACTGACTTATCAACGCAGACCCTAAACCGCTGGATCTACAAACTTTAAATTTTGGCCACTGATGCTTTTTATGTACTTAAAGCAGCTGTACATAAAATAAGGGATGAACGGTTTTTGGAATTGCGTCATTTTCAAACTAACACAAGTTCTAGTTACTTCAGCTATTATTTTAACTATCTTGGTTTTTATAAAACTAAATTAACTATCCTGCAAAGTTACTTTAGCATTAGAGAAAAACTTACCCTCTTTGGGGTAGAAGGTAACGCTGTTCTCAGACAGTTTTGTACAAAAAATGCTTATTAATATAATTTATTGCCGAGAACACCTATTCTTAAACACATGTCGCACCTACGACTTTCTACAGTAAAATTTCTTGCGTAGCTCCAACTTAAGGTGACTTATAAGCCTTATGCATCTTACGATATTTTCATCCACAATTTAAATTTAATAAAATATTTTGTAGGAGACTTCTTTGGCGGTCACGTTCGAGCAGTTTTCTCTCTCATCACGATAATATTCATAGCGTGCGTATCAGCCACTATCACCAGCTTTAAAGAAATTCCACTTGGAGAAGTTAATGACCAGGAGGAGTTCAGGAAATTGGCTCAAAATGAAAGAATCCAGGAGAGTTTTGACGAAGATGGATCGGAGAAGAATCTTAAAAAGGATAACGTCATGTATGGATCTGTTAATCAACCTGAGGTAAAGCAACATTCATACACACATGCACATTCTCATGCCTTTCTTAACGAGATCCTGACCCTGCAGTTGCCATAGAGAAATTGTATTACGAAGAGAGATGTTTATCAGATCGGCAATGCATGCCTAAATCTCTTAGTGTTGTTTTTGGTGGCAAATTAAAAATGTTCATCGATTAGTCTTTTGTTTTATTGAGTTACAAAACTTAGATAACACATCGTAAGAGAACCATGTCGAAATGCATGAAAAGCCAGCTCGATCGTAGTAGTACCACGGCTTCACCTAAAAGACCGGTCACGGTGAGTAATGTTACGGGAGGTCCAAACCTGGAAGAAAATTGGTAGTTACGATTTCCTTTCTCAGCCTATTTAAAATTATGCATTTATATTGCGAGAGGGAGGAATAGCCATAGCCATTTTCGTAAGAAAAACATACTGTCACAAGGGAATACGTGAAATTGTGAGTGGCGGAAAAATCTAGTTTGTCACAATTATACGACTTGTAAATACCGAATGTGTGATACAGTTATGTTCCGGCTTTCACTCTAACACACTAATTTTTAGAATGGCGTGGAACACATAAGTGAAGCTGCCCACGGAGAAACCCTGTCGCTTCGGCATTACCTAAAGTCGATTGTGTTGATGCCAAGTTCGCTGCGTGTGGTATGCCTCACCAACTTGTTCTGCTGGATGGCGCATGTTTGTTACTCGTTGTACTTCACAGATTTCGTCGGTGAAGCTGTGTTTGGGGGTGACCCAGCGGTTAGTGGTTATATTTATTTCCTGATTTCGATAATGTAGTAATTAATGATTTATTTAGATTAGATAAAAAGTAACATAAGTTTATGATTATGATAATCAAGTCGCTGGGGTGGTTTACCTAATCAAGGTGTTGTAGGAATTGGACTATATAAAACAACGAAGATTAGGTGATGATGATGTATGGTTATATAGTGGTGATGATGATGTATGTCATTCACTGTCTAAGCGAATCGGTAATGGACCTCAACTTCACTGTAATGGTAAGCTATGTTTCACAGATGTAGATTTGTGATGTATTCGTATATAGCTTTTATACTTTGATTTTATCTTCTACAATATGAGTTGCTGGACAGAAAAAAACTTAATTGTGTAATTTTCGTTTGTAAATAAATACACCTTATCATCAAAAAAATCATTTTGATAAAAGCGGATATATTCGCATACATACATTGATACATTTGCACTGCACCGAACTTGTTGCCAATAGAAAAAAAAGAGGTCGCTAAAGGTTCCTCAGATTATTTTCAGACTTACCATATACATAGATTTGATACGAGCACTAACCAAAGTTATTTAATTCTTTAACTTTGAACTTGCATGCATTTAAATTTCAGGAAGACTGATTTCTTCTGTATACAAAATATTAAAATTCGCCTTCCAGAGTCTAATACTGAATCGTCTTTTATAATTTGCTTATGTTAAAATTTCAGGCGCCCGTCGGTAGCGAAAGCCGCATGGATTATGAAGCCGGCGTTCGGTTCGGCTGCTGGGGCATGGCGATGTATTCCCTCTCTTGCGCCTGCTATTCAACTATAATCGAAAAACTTATTAAAAGGCTTGGGTAAGTTATTACAATACTAATTTATAAAAATATTATTATACGTATATGTGTTATAAGGACTTAACAATGTAGACTAAAGATTGCCTGGCAGGTGTTTGTTGTTTTCGACCGTTTTAATTTTGATTGTAGAGATTTCTGTGCCATGATAGGTCAAAATATTAACCCGTATTGCTTTATGAAGCCAATTACTATATAATTGTTGACCTAACACATACATATAGCGAACATGATATCTTCCTGCTCTTCTTCTGTATATAAACAATATGATCAATATTTTGTGCTCGTCGATGCCAGTGGTGAGTACTTTCCCAATACTAGCCGTCAAATGTACTTATTAGGACTGTATACTTACCATTTTTTCTGTCTTCTGTACAGGACTTCCTAAAATAAACAGAGTATTATGTATTGGCTTCATGCTCCGTTACACATTATATTTAATTACAACGTATTTGTAGATATTTTGTCAATTTAGTATGTATTTATCTGTCAGATAATTTGCAGCGTATAATGGAATAAAATTACCTTGGAATAAATACGGGAAATAGGTGATCAGAGAGTATACTAACAAACTTCCTTTTAAATCCAATTGAAACCGGTCAAATTATAAAGTTCGCGTTTTAAAGTTTTGAATACAGTTTTACAAGCTCGGTGTTAACTTAAGCGACTAAAGTTTTAAGGAAGTTCTAGGGCTGCTAGTTAGATTTGACTTACTTAAAATAATTGTGTTCACTGGAAAAGACAATTAAATCCGTCAAAATATTGTACAGCCGACGATAAGAGACAGAAACAAAGATTGCAAACAGATAGTTGCAATCAGCCCATCATTTATACAGTAAGTCGTTATCTATGCCGCATTTGGCCTTCAACTTGACAGCTCGTACTAGTCAACAACGTCCTCTTCAGTAACGAGATCAATAGATCCTTGACTTTGAGCCGCTTCCTGGCCGTCACTTTTCTGGCTTCACACTGATTTAAAAATCAATAACTTTACAAGCTTAGTTCTCGTCTAGAATATCTTCCGCTTGGATATAATATAATTTATTATCTATAAATAATATAGTATATAATGACTAGTGAAAAATGAGTTTTTTTGGTTTCGAAAGTTTTCTGACTACTAAAGCTTAAACGGAGCTTGCGAAAGTTTGTTGCCAGGACTTAAAAAAAGGTTATCTCTTTCTTTTACAATTTTTTCGGGAGCCAAGTGAAAATATGTCTTCTTTAAGCAGTGTACTCTGACTAAATGAATATTTATAACATAAGAAGTTAATTCAATGTCTAACTTTCAAGGATATTCTTTGCAATAGGAGAATCATCTGATTATTATCAAACTTTAAAAATAAAAGTATTAATAAAAGTCTCCCTTCTTTCTCCTACACTTTTAAAATTTTATAATATTTTTGTCAATTATCCATTGGAAATTATATAAACATATGTATATGTTTGAAGCACTTCGTGAGAGAATAAAGCCCCAGCACCCAACACGTCTTATATACCAAAGGGTTGCATGGGTGGAGCGCTAAATCATGTTAAAGCGATTACAATTGCACATACCTAGTCATAAAAATAACGTGCGTTTACAGCAAGTAATTTGGTTAATATTTTTACTGTATATTTATTTAACGATTTAGCATAAACGTTAAATTATTTTTTCTCTAAAAACATGTTATAGGAGTTATCTCTGAGTTCCGATCACAAGAGTTTAAACCTCTGCTACAAACAAACATTACGTGCTAAAAAGATTAGAAACATCTAAATGTGTGTAAAATCCTTTGAAAAATCGGTTAATCGGTAAATGTAGAAAAACAAAAGAAAAGGCAATTATTTTCATTTACAAATGATCTTTCAGGGCGTTAAGCTCGTGTTTGTTACTTTAGGAAAAAGGTCTTGCCATTTGCTGTAACATTAATTTGAAGAAAGTTTTCATTTCTATATTTATATTTCATTGACTGAACTTATATTGTATTCCATATGAATAAGAACAATATTATATTACTATCAAGCTCAAAGTTGTGAAATGAAATCGTTTATTCTAAAAATAGGTTACATAAACACTTTCGGATATCAAACTGTGTGGGTAATCAGATAAACGGTCCTACGTATAGCTTCTAAGTCCAATAATTTTAAAGAATTCAATGTGTGCTTTCCAGGGCCAAGCGTGTGTACGTTGGTGGACTGTGTACGTACAGTTTCGGCATGATGGCCCTGTGTGCCATTCGTGCTCCTGCAGCAGTTCTGCTGTGCAGTTGGACCGCCGGCGTCATGTACTCTACACTCTTCACCATGCCGTATTTACTCGTGGCGCATTATCATGCTACGGGCATGGTGAGTCGAAGTATCCTTCAAATCTGGGCTACTATACACGCAATATTTGTAAAGGGGTAATGGCTGGCCTAACTAACCATAGTGGTAACTTTCTCTCCATATAATAGTAGATCCTTCCATGAATTTATTTTACAAATTAAAAACATTCCTATTATGTAAACAAAACTAAGTAACATACCTTTTCTATTGGTTTTACTTCAATTAGTAGTTGTAATTACTGGAAGAAATAAGAGTCTTGGTTTCCGTTGGGTGTGCATTATAACAAGAACAAACTTTACATAAGTTATGGCTTGTGTTTCGTTAAAGTTATCAAAGTATGTTCAGCTTTTACTACTCACGTCTGACTATATTTCAATAAAAAAAAAACACAATTTTCTTTACATAGATCACAGTTTGAGATGTGTTGCAGTTTGTACTATAAACATTTAATCTAGAGAAGCAAAGCATGCGTGTTAATGACAATGTATTACTATATTACTAGTCATTTCTATTCTAATGGCATAGTCACTAGTCCTACAAGTGAGTATTACAAGGTGCCTATTAAAAATAAAGTTGGTATTAACCTCTTTTAGGGTCACTTAGAAAAAATATAACAAGTTGTTACTTAGAAAAGCATAATCATCATCATCATCACATCAACAGCCTTTAACAGTCCACTGCTGGACATAGGCCTCTCCTTAGAAAGGAGGTTTTGGCCTACTATACCACGCTGGCCAGACGGGTTGGTATAGGGTTTGTGTCAAGTTTTCCTTCTCTCTGCAGTGCTGTTGTCCTGCGTATTTCGTTCCCTTAGTCGCCTCTTACGACACCCACGGGATGAATAGAGGTGGTAACACTCTGTATTCTTAATCCGTCACCACACGGAAAAGCATAATACTTAACTATTATTATAAATTCGAAAGTTTGGACGGATGAATTGATGTTTGTTACTCAATTTGGTATAAAACTACATACTTTTGTCCTGGCAAAATTGACATTAACATTATTCTCAACTTAATGAAGTGTTTCTGTAAAATATGTACGGTCATGAAGAAGCTGCAAACCTCCAGAACCAATTGTAGTTACTTTTTAAATTGACATATCTCAAATACATACTTACATAAACAAAGTAAAACATGATCTATGGTAACTACACTGCTAATAAACATATTGGCATAAATACATAGACATTTACATGTAGACGAAGAACAAAATTTGGCTTGGTTGAGAATCGAGCCTACGACCTATCAGCAGTCAGAATTACTAACCATTAAACCAACTTTGTAAATAATGGATGTATCTAGTACCTATTAATTGTGTAGGTAATTGGCACAATTTTTAAAACCTTTGATAAAGGACGTTAGAGAACTTCAAACAAACGTTTCCTTGTACTTGAACGATAGCTAATTATTGATAATACAGGTTAATGATAAAGAATGCGAAAAGGTCGAAAGGGCGTTTGGACTGTGTCCATAAACCACACTCACGATTGTCAAGTAAGTAGATTCGTATCAGTCGGTATGAAAAGAAGATTGCCATCTGATGCTCTTGGAGCTGGTTTTTGTGAACGGACTTTTAGTTGGAAAAAAAAAGCCGTGAAAATTTATGTACAATCAGGTGACGTGTCTTTTTGAAGTGCATTTTGGGAATTTTTGAACAACAACCAAAAGAATGTATTTTATGGTTTAACAAAAAACTATTTTTTTTGAAATGGGAAACAACCATTGAACTCGCGACACTGTTACCGTTACCGTTACACTTCTGTCGGCACTCCCGGAGTGCCACTGTTTTTTTATGTTATAGGGGGCAAACTAGCAGATGTGTCCCCTAATGGACACCTTTAACACAAGAATAACAAGTATATTATTGCCTTTTGGTCCCCCTCTACAATAAGGGAAGGGTGGTGGTTTGGGCTCCAGTAACCTCACACTTACGGGAGCCGAAACCAATAAAGCAATAAAAGAATTGCCTAACACCGCTTTTCGGTGAAGCCATGGTCATCACTCTGGTCTAACCTGTCCATTTGCATCGAAGCATGATCCTCCCACGGCATGCAAAAATGTTTTAAAGCCAGATAGATCTTTGAATAAACCTTTCAACAGCAATCGATATTGAAAAAATAATCTATACTTAGATACAGTATATTTAATTTGAATCTATTATTATATTTGTTGTCCATGTGGTGACGGATGTAAGTGTGGTGACGGATTAAGAATACGGAGTGTCACCACCCCTGTTAATCCCGTGGGTGTCGTAAGAGACGACTAAGGGAGCAAATTACGCAGGACAACAGCACTGCAAAGAGAAGGAAAACTGGAAACAAACCCTATACCAACCCGTCTGGCCAGCTTGATATAGTAGGCCAAAACCTCCTTTCTAAGGAGAGGCCTATGTCCAGCAGTGGGCTGTTAAAGGCTGTTGATGATGATGATGATTATATTTGAAGTCGTTATTTTACAAATGATCTTATCGAGACTTGAAATTGTAATTTATATTTTTATGCCTGTTTAATAACGCTAGGAAAATAATTCTGAACGCAAAAGGAAACTTTGGATACATATTTTAGTTATAGAATCTTCTTTTTTGCAAGAATACGTATATTTATTATGATTATTGTAAGTCTGAATATTGTGGGTCTGTAAACATACACTTGTCTGTAAATAGTCAAGCAGGTTTTTTTTAAATGAGGAAGGCCATACGTGTTATCATCTTACCAGGGATAATCATGAAACTCCACAATGTTCTGTTATATTTGGGTCTATTATAATTCCTTATAAACCGAGGTCCCTGAAAAGCTCGTCTTTCATTAGCCGCCTTTTAAAAAGCTAAAATCCATATCATAGAGTACGAGGCGTCGTGCCCCCTCCGATACAAGTATAAACTTATTTTAATTGAAATTCCACAAACTCTATTAATTGTTATGATATGCCAGTAAAGTTTGTATTACATTTTGTAACAGTGAATATTAAACTTAGAGTTTCAATCCTAAATGGAAAATGTTTTTGGTTTGGTTTCAGTGGGATAGTGGTGGCGGTGGATGTGGCGAGACCCGCGGCATCGGCACGGATGTTGCAGTAGTCAGTAGTTGCGTTTTCGTCGCCCAGCTTCTTGTTTCCTTCATCATGGGTTTAGCAGTGAAGGCAGTTGGCACAACCGCCGCAGTTGTGGCCGTAGCTGCTACTCTCGCTGCGTGTGCTGCGCTAACAGCTACACAGATTACATATCTTGATTTGTAAGCCTCAATTGTATCATTTACTTACATAAAGTATTTTTAAAACAATATTAAAAACCTATATCTTGTTAAATTTATAGGAGTTTCTCCTTAAGAATCAAATGTACTTGGAGCCTACTGATTAGCCTCTGTAGGGTAGTGTAATCTTATACATTCTAAATAATCATCATAAACAAATAAAACATTCCTGGTTATTTAAGCTTTCTTACATATATGTATTTCAATAACTAAATCCTGCCAGAAGGCGACCTTTTCTTTCGATGAATTCTCTTTTATGCATTAGTTTTTTGGCACCCCTGACATTTGGAGCTACCGGCACATTGCCGAGCCATAGAGGTAAACATTAAAAAAACTGACTGTACTAGATGGCTTACTTTCACAAATTCAAGTAATATAAAAAAATATATGTTATAAAATATGTTATAAAATGTAGTAGTCACTGGTGGAGTTTTTAACTGTAGGTCTGTTTTCCAAATATGAATATTAAAAATATATATTTAGTTATCTTAGACTTTATATCCAAAGTCTCTCTTGATCCCTTCTGCTCTCTTTCTTTGTCAACAATTTTTAAATAAGTATTGTAGAATAGTTTCTGTAGGTACTTACATTTATGTAATAAGAATAATCATTAAGTTAGTAAATAAGTGTAAAGACAAAGACATTGATCTCGAAGTTTGTGATTATTGTATTACAATAGTTATGCATATTGTTCGATGTTGTAAAAAATAATAAACCACACATATTTACTGTTAATATTAAACGGATTCTATTTATGAAAAATATTCACGTTTTTAGCTTTTTCTGCCTTATTTTTTCAATATATTTCACTGGAAATTAGGAATGATAACTCGCCACTGATCATTATTAAATTTGAGCAGATGGCAATAGTAGCAGGCAGCGGCAATACCAAACTTACTACTTTCTAAAAACTGCAGTAGGGGCAATAAAAAACCCGAACTCCCTCAAAGAGTATTCTTATCCAGATGCTATCGACGACTCCTAATATGCAATCTTTCACCGGTAGGAAAATTTACTCCAACATGCATTTCTCATCACTTGTTACGCTTTTGTTTGTTGTATCTTCAAAAGCGGTTTGATAGCAGGTTTAATTCATAACATCACATTAACAGCCTTTAACAGCCCACTGCTGGACATTGGGCCTCTCCCTAGAACCGAGGTTTTGGCCTACTATACCACGCTGGCCGGATAGAGTTTGTGTCAAGTTTTCATTCTCTTTGCAGTGCTGTTGTCCTGCATAGTTTGCTCCATTAGTCGGCGATTACGATTTCATGGGATGATTAGGGGTGGTGACAGGTTTAATTAACTAAATTAAATTTCAACTTTTTACAAGCACGAGAGAAAAAACTCAATCCTCAATCAATGTGAATAATGGTCTGAAGACTCTCTTGGTTTACTTTTCTAGTCTGCACCTGAAACCCTCTGACAACAAATTATAGTCAGCACTAGATAACACATCAGTTTGAATATTTAGATTTGGTAAACTTTAAAAATTTTTTTGGGATGATCAATAGTTTAATTCTTTTTGTCTCTCTCTTCAGCCTGTCTCGACCCTTCTTTCCTGCTGTCCTCTTCATATCGTCATCGCATCTGTGGTCTTCTGTGCTGAAATTAAAACCATATAGTCAGTTCTACAGTCTCTTGAAGCTGTGAAATATCATACTTCTAATTGAAAGTAAAAAAGATTTAGCCTTTTATGAACCATTTATGATCGAGAATCGAAATTGCATTCTTCCGACACCCCCGATAGGCATCTCGATCAAGACGGGCCTCGTCACCCGTTGTGACCGTCACCTTTCGGTCGCAGTCCTCTAGAAGTGCACGGATGGCGTAGTGGTTTAAGCAGTCACCTCGCCGCTTCCTATTGCGCTAAGTGTTGTGGGCTCGATCCCCGCATGGGACAACACTTTGTGTGATCCACAAATTGTTGTTCTGAGTCTGGGTGTCCTTTGTGTCAGTTTCATGAATGTTTGTTAAGTCCCCCGCAACACAGGATTTATTCCTAGTGCGGGAGTTATCTTTTTAAAAGGAAAAGAAAAAAAAAGTTTTGGAGAATGTATTTTAGGAAAAGCTCGGCAAAAACTGCGAGACTCGATTCCTGAACTATTTATAATATGTACCTCCAAATTTGTACGGAACCCAGTGGTGCATGGAATTGTGGGCGAGTCCGACTCACACTTGTATGGATTTTTTTTTATTTCTACATTTGTATGTAGTCTTATCGGAAGAAACAATGGAAATAGTGTTAGTTTGCCATTCAGTTATTTTTCTTCTATAAATACGAGTACTTTCTATTCTCTACCAAAGACTATTTTTTATTGTCAAACTAGCCTAACAATGCATCGCCTTTATAAATTCTTTAATAGGTTCTCACAATCCGAGGCTCTGAGAGATTCGAGTGGAATGTTGGAGACTCAATTTTTCGAGACTCTTTATAGATTGACTTATATGTCAGGTAATAATTTCTTAGTTAGAATTGTTTAATATAAAAGGAAAAAAGGATATAGAAATGTTCCGTACCTACCTAATCCTTTTTATTTCATATATATAAAAAACTAAATAAACATTTCAGTAAAGATCAAGTCGAGTGAAACTGCAGACAAAATTGTTTTATTTTTTATTTAAGGAAGATGGGGAAAACGAGCAGACGGGTCACCATGACGTGCGTGACTACCGCTGCCCATGAACGCCTGCAACTCAGGAGTCACAAGCGCGTAACGGGCCTTTTAGGAAGGAGTACGCTAATATATTGTACTTTGTTCAAAAAATTATGCACTGCCTGTATTTTATTGTCTGTTTTATATATTTATATATATATTTTATTTATGGTAGAGGGGGCAGACGAGCAGACGTGTTACCTGAAGGAAAGTGACTATCGCCGCCCATGAACGTCTGCAACTCAGGAGTCACAAACGCGTTGCCGGCCTTTTAGGAAGGAGTACGCTCTTTTCTTGAAGGGTTGAAGGTCGTATCGGTCCGGCAATACCGCAGACGATAACCCGTTCCACAGATTGGTTGTGGAGGGGCAAAAAGTGTCTCGAAAAGCGCACAGTAGTGAAGCGCCAACTATCCAATTAATGAGGATGAAAATTTTGCCGTGTGGAACGATGGCGGAAATTTGCGGTTGGTATTAGTCCGAACAATTCCTCGGAGCACTCTCCGTGATATGTGCGATAGAGAATGCAGAGTGAAGCCACATCTCTACGTAACGCCAAGGGATCGAGCCGATCGGTGATGTTTGGGCTATCGACGATTCGAGTCGCTCTTCGTTGGATGCGGTCCAGAGGGAGAAGCTGGTACTGAGGTGCCCCTGCATAGAGATGAGAACAGTATTCCATATGCAGCTGGACTTGCGCCTTACAGAGCTGAAGGCGGTGGGCCGAAGTGAAATACTGCCTCGATCTGTTCAGCACACCGAGCTTTTTCAACGTCAATTTGACCTTACCCTCTAAGTGACTCCGAAATTGGACTTCGTTCGATATATCGCCTAGGATTCCGATACTGGCTGAGGCTGCTTTATATCATAATGAGATCGGTTTTGTAATAATTACAGTAATAATGATATTAGTCATAGCAAAACTTTTATGCGCAGGATTGTCTACATACGAACGAAGCATACGTTATAAGGTATACAGTTACGCTGTGCAGTTGATGACATTGTCACTTATGTGCGGCGAAATATGGTTCATGTTCACCGAAGCATCCACTTTGGACCAAATAACCAAATCTTTCAGTGTCTTCGGTCTTCAGTGTATTTCTCTATTCAAGTTCTGGAATGTGGTAAATATATTTTCATTTAAAGATTTTCTATCCTGGAACTTTCAAGAGAAGAGTATATATCTACATTTTATCATGTGAGATGGAAGACAAACATTTCTTCAAAATTAACAATCAAATTACGTATTTTACGTTATTATAATATAGAACGCAACTGTCTAGTGACACACATATGACTATCTATGGAATAGCGGTCCAAAAGTTTTTTGAATAAAGCATGTAAAATAAAAAAAGTGATTTTTACATGTAACAATATAAATAATACCCCTAATAAGTTTTCTCTAAATTTAAATGCATATTAAATCAAATAAATATATTGTACAACTACAATTTGACTAAGTTATAGTTATGTTTTAAGTTAACACATGTTCGATTTGTTTTAGGTTTCAAATAAATCTTTATACCATAAGCTCGCGAGGTCAATGGAATCACCATATTTCGACATCTCAACTGAATCGCGGCAGAGGATAGTGAATACCTGGACGCAAAAGAGTAAAACCAATTTAAAGTTGTTTTGCTTTATTGGAATAAGTTCTCTTCTTTCGTGGTAATAATTTTAATAGCTTCGTTGTTCATAGAGTGATCCCAAAACCTAACCTACTTTAAGTTTTTGGGCTTTTCATTTTCGTAGGATCTAGGATTGACTATAATTAGATCGGTGACGGATTAAGAATACGGAGTGTCACCCCCTATTCATCCCGTGGGTGTCGGAAGAGCCGACTAAGGGAGCAAACTACGCAGGAAAACAGCACTGCGAAGAGAAGAAACACTTGACACAAACCCTATACCAACCCTTCTGGCACCGTGGTATAGTAGGCCAAAACCTCCTTTCTAAGGAGAGACCTATGTCCAGCAGTGGACTATTAAATACTGTTTATGTGTGATGGGAGATCGATTGAAATTAATCATTTTGGTTTCCTGCGATATCTACACGTCTTTAAATATAAATAAACATTTTAGAAAAAAAACTGGTCAAGCTGTATTAGATCAAAATCAAACGTTATTAGATTAAACTGTTTTTTCAGGTTTTTAGATCCTCTGCTCGACGATGTTGAGTACAATTTAGCCGCTGATACTAACCTGCCTTTTAATTTTAAAACTCCATTACTTTACCCGATAGCGTACCTTTTAGTAATGGTAGCGTTATGGTATGCCGGATTTTACGTAATGGTAACGGGTGCAACGATGCAGTCGCATCTCGTACACCTTCTGTGCCAGTTTATAATACTGGAGGACTGCTTCGAAAACTTGTTGGAGGAGTGCAGCGAGGATTTCACGAGTAAGTGATAAAATAATATAAAATAATTATTGGAAAAGTTACTGTAATGAAGCTATTAATGAGACCATACAAGTTGTTTTCTTTGTATATGGGGCAGACGAGCAAACGGGCCGCCTGATGGGAAGTGCCACAGTCTAGTCACAACTGCGTTGTCAACCTTTTGCGTCCAACCTGAGAATCAGTCGAAGGAGGGGTTGGGACGCTGGTGACCTCACTTACTCCTCGAAAAGCAACGGAACAAGTTTTCTGTGAGGCCTGTGGTAGCACTCCGGTCGTGCCTGTCCATTTGTGACATGTTGAAACACGTCTCTTCCAAGGTAAATTATGTAGGTATGACCACCAAGCACTCGCGGAAAGGACCATGCCCAGTGAGTATCTTCGAGTTTCGATAAGTGACGTGGTCTCTCTCCCCATCTGCCTACGTTTCGAGGTTAGGCAGAACAGCACCAACAGCTTCCACCCATTTCATAGCTGCACCAGCCGAGTGCGCCTCTGCACCAGTGCTTTTTGGTGAGTATTCCGTCATATTTTGAGCCCATTCTGTGTCTCCTCGCGTCCTGCGTATCGTCTGAGTCTGATCATAAACCCTCGCCTCTATATCTGCCAGGATATCAAAAGACATTTCATTGGACCTATGGATTACTTTTAGTGGTATTAGTCTCCATTACTTAAAGTGTTCGAGTATTTAACGAAATATTCCTATATTGTTGCATATGGTTTATAGGTACCAGCGAAAGCGAGTTTATTTACAACAAAGAATTTGCAGAAAGTATTACCCAAAGACTTAGCAACTTAGTGAAACAACATCAATTTATTTTAAGGTAAGTGCTAAATGTACGACGATGTACTGACGACAAATTTTTATCTACACTTTCTGTTCGAAATTTAAATACCTTTAGGTGATTATTATTTTTGCCACTGTGTGAATATTAAAGGAATTCGGTGGAAATCAGATGCCAGTATCAGACGTTAGTGACCTTAAAATCTCTTTCACTCTCTTATCTCTTTTCGGTGATTCCGTCAATTTCAAAAATACAAGTCATGACTCATCATGAATAATCAGAGGGTAAAACTTATAGTCATGACTTGTAAATATATATGTTGTCATAGTTGCTCCGTGACTATTAACTTTAATTATTAACAACTTTGAATATAATAAGTAAAACTTTCTCATGAGTATTTTAGCCTTACGAGGGACTTAAAGGCCGTCGTGAGCGTCCCAATGCTAGCCCAGTTAGCTGTCACCGGCTCGGTGATATGTGTTGTTGGTTATCAGGGTGCTACGGTAAGGGTGTTTTTCTCTGTATTTTTAGTAATTTTCAGGGTTACAAAGCAGGACATTACAGGGTTAAGAATATACTATATAGTAAACAATACTTTTACTTTTAGTCAAATAATAATAATAATAATTTTATTTCTCACCACAATATAGTATACATTACATTAGGAAAAAATCATATTATCCTTTACAGAATATTGTGGGAGATTGGTGCTTAAGCTAAGCTCGAGACCTGTGTTCTAGGATGCCAGAATATACATAGGTTCTAATAAGTTATGTACATGTATTTTAAAGAAATTGAATAGATTGGGCTTACTATAACCTCACTCACTCGGTGCAAAGGAACGAAAGTCTTGTTTAACACCGGTTTTCTGTGATTCGACCGATATGTAAGTGCCGAGCCATGGCGGTTTGGTTACCATGGTATTTTGTGTCACCATTGATATGTTGTTTGTATAGTGCTACTAGTTTAAATAATAGCATCATTAAAAAACCCGATAACTTTTTTTTTAATTAAACACATTTTTAATAAAACAGCTGCTCATTGAGACTGTTCTGATAAGCCCAAACATAGTAAATATGCTGTAATTTTCATAAGAGTTGGCTATTCTACAGAATACTTGATGCAACAACAAGTGCAGGGTTACCATGTCGTGGAAATACCATCAAAATACCAGTATACCAAATTTCAGATCAATCGAACTTGTGGATTTTAGTGAGATCCCTTTATCACTTAGGCAATGAGCTGATGATCTTCAAAATTTGTAGCTTAGAACCATCTCGATCACATCGGCTTTCGAACAAAAAAAACTGTATGAAAATTGGTCCATCCGTTCGGAAGATATGATGCCACAGACTGACAGACAGATACACAGATACGCAGATACACAGGTTAAACTTATAACAGCCCTCGTTTGCCGTCGGGTGCTTAAAGATTAACCGCCAATGTTCCTCTGATTTTCAGACTTTCGACCAAGGCATAGTCAAAGCTTTAACGAGCATAATCTTTTTAGTATACAATATATTTGAGCTCTACATCGTTTGTAGATGGTGTGAAGAAATCACTACCTTGGTAAGTTTTGTTGAAGCTAGATAGTATATCATATTATAAAATATATAGATATTATTAAAATTTTATGAGAAAAGATAAAGGTAAAATTTTCTGAGATTTTAAAAGAGCCTTAATTGACCTTATTATTGATAAAGTATATCTGGTACCAAACAAAGTATTTGTATCCAAGTGTTGTATTTGGAATGTCGTTAGAACCCAAGTTGGGTTATAGTGTTAAGCACAAGCTACATTGCCACTCGTCTTTTTTGTTAAAATATTTAATCTAGAATTAATAACAGTAGGAATTAATTGTGGACGGAGAGCGATATGGATATTTTGTTGATGATGTAATTGTTCAACAGATATAGCATTTCTACATTCAAAAGTGAACTTAAGAAACACATGATTAATTAAAATAACAAATAATAATAATGAAATGTAAATAAGTACTCAAGTTAGACATTTATTCTTGCATAAATAAAATGGGGTATAAAATTTAGTTTATTAATTGTGCGTGTTTGTCTGTTGCAAGAAATAATCGACGACATTATTCCAGAGTTCAAAATTAGGCGAAGCAATATACTATTCTGGTTGGGAGCGTGGTGAGTCCCAGATCCGTGGCGTACGTTCCACCATCTTGATTGTGATGGCTCGAGCCCACAAACCTCTATACTTCACAGCAGGAGGAATGTATAATCTTACCGTTGATTCTTTTGCCAGGGTGAGTATGCAAGATTACGGGGCATAGAGAACGTACATTATACAAAAATATTCTTTGGCAAAGAACGCATGATTTATGAAACTTTATGAATGAATGAAGGTAGAATATATGAATTAAGGTTTAGTGTTTATTTTTGTCGTGTCACAATTTTATCAGTGCTATTTCGTATTTGTTGCTTAAAAAAAGGCGTGTCTTAATAAGAAGTTATAAGTGTCTGGTCAAATTAAACGACATTTTCTTTTTCAGCTGATGAAAGGGTCCTACAGTGTTTTAACGATGATGTTGGGATCTCGGTCTGAATAGATCTAGTAACTTCACTTGATTTTTATTGTTCACTTTTCTTAGTAGGATCTTATTAGTCATGCAAACATTGTTCACTAAAATTATAACATCTGGTCAGATGTCACATTCTAGGTGATCTGTTATACACTAGTTCCTTAAATGTTTTGTTTTGACAGTCATCTTGTTAAATGTAAGCAGTTCTCAGTTTACCTAGCCCTAACCTAGCTGTTTTTCTGAAAATGTAATTAACTCATACTTATGTTGCAATTATATGCAGCAATCTATCTATAATACATACACATATATACAGCATTTTTATCTTTTTGATACATAAATATTATAATAAATGTAAAAATAATAAGTTCGAACGATTGTTTTATTTATTGACACCTAAACTAAAGAATTTATCGATATTATTTTAATGTAGATCTTAAACTTATTACTAATACTTTATAATGCATTCAAAATAATAATATCATTTGAGATGTGTGTAGCCCACTTTGGCTCGTTTAGCATGTCTTGCGCAGCACGAAGATCCACACAGACGCGCAGAGTGTAGACACTTAGTACTTATTTGGCTTGGCACCGACTAAAAACAGACTAGAATTCAAGATATCTATTGCTGTTAAATAGAGGGTGGCACTTTTTTTTTTTATTAGTTTAAGTTAGTCAGTTCTTAACTTTTAAAAGGATTTATGCATTAACTTCTGTCGGACTATTATTTCTCATATAAATAAAAAGTTATATGTGAGTATAAGAACTCGCATATAAGAATGTTTCTGATTAATATTGGCTTGAAAATAGGCAGTTAGAGATGTACGGTTATAGTTACCGCTTTAACCGCTTTAAGAGCAGATAGATGTCTGTCCATCTACTCTTACACTAAAGCGTACGTTTAATCTGTCTACTTGGTTAAATATAAAAAAATATGACTACTAACTAGTTATTGTTGTGCAAGACTGGCGAACTTATCTCTTCCAGGCAACCAATTGATTGATGAAAGACAGACAGACAGACAAGACAAAGAAACAAATGTGAAGAAAGCGTCTATGTAGTAAGTCATTATAGGAATAATCCACAATAAGCGGTGACAATTTGATCATTGTTTTTTCGTAAGTCTTTGCAAGATTTCTATTTTTATGAGCGTACATTTTTTTTATGTGAGTCTAATTCTGAAATGCTAGAAAGTATGACACATTACTACTTATAAGTAAATCTGAGGCAGGCGGGTATACCTACTCATTCATCTCCAGTCGTTCTATTTCAAAAGTCATAAGTGTTTTGCCGCCCGTTTTAGATCCCTTTTGAGCTCTGGTAACCTCACACACTTGGTTAAAAGCAACGAAAGAAATGTTTAACACCGGTTTTCTGAGAGGTTGGAACCAATTAAGTGAACTTGAAATACTTAAAAAGTTCTGTATAAGATTCATTTTTGCCTTACTTAAACATGATAATGTCTCCGAATTTTAAAATGACTATATTCTACGTATATATGTTATGTACATTGGATGTATGTATGGGTATGTATGTATGGGTACATACATATTTAAAAAAAAAAGTGTCTTTTATTTAGTTATTAAGACAAAACGTATATTTTGGCTATTTATTTTGTAGTTGTTGCCTCATGACTTACCTAGGTATTACGATATAGTTATAGTCGATCTTGGTTGTCTGTAAGGCTTAAGACTCTTAAAATATTTTAGACAGCACAATTTTATTTCTGTGCAGTTACGAGTTATATATAAATGCTCTCTCAAGTCACAATTTTTACAAAAAATAAACACCCCTTATTTTCGGATTGTACAAAGAAGTACATTTCTAATATGTAGACGTCGAAAAACAATGAGAACGTTTTAAAACAGATAATAATTAATATCAACGTTAATTATTTAATGTTAAATGTAAATAATTGATTAAATGATCGGTAATTGCACGACAGAATGTTTAAATATGAAACAGTACATTAAAACTATGTCCATTGGCCACTATTTAAAATAGTATACAGTGCGGTAATGTTTTGAATTTGGTTATCAAAATCGTAGTGGTATTGAAGGTGTGTGGTGTCCAAGTAGTGATGGATAAAGAATACAGAGTGTGATCACCCCTATTCATCCCGTAGGTGTTGTAAGAGCTGACTAGAGGATGTAAACTACGCAGGACAATAGCACTGCAAAGAGAAGGATAACTTAAAATAAAAACTATACCAACCAGTCAGGCCATCCTGGTATAGGAGACCAAAATCCCCTTTCTAAGGAGAGGCCTATGTCCTGCAGTGGGCTATAAAAGTCTGTTGATGATAATGATACTTTAAGGTCTAAATAGCTTTTAGATTTCTATGTATATATGGGGTCTACCAATAAGAACGTCCTGGTTTAAAAATTTAATAAAACACACAATTTTTTATGAAAAATGCATCCGATTGATTTATTTGATAGATAAATTTATGCAATTTATGTTTAAAATAATATATCGGCCAAATGACCGCCGCGCGCTCACGCCAATTTTCGATGACGCGGTGCACCATTTCGGCCCTTATGTCGGCTATGGCTCGTCGAATGTTGGTGTTTAGGTCACGAATTGTAGCTGGATTATTGCTGTACAAATAGTCTAAAGGTGTTAAATCACACGATCTTGGTGGCCAACTGATCGGTCCATTTCTCGAAATTAACGACTCACCAAACTTTCCACGCAACAAGTCCATGTTCACTCGAGTAATGTGAGGTGGTGCACCGTCTTGTTGAAAATAAAGGTCGTCTGCATCAATATCATCAAATTCCGGAAAGAAATATTCGGTTAACATCGAGTTATAGTGCTCGCCATTCACAGTAACAGGGTTTCCTTCGTCACTTTCGTAATAATTTTGGACAATTTCCAAGCGTTGGTTTAAAGTGAAACGTGACATGATAAAATGGCAAACCTTACTGAACACAAATGTCAAGAGACGTCAAAGATCCATCGTCAAACATGGCCGCTATGAGCTGTCAAAACCAGGTCATCCCTATTGGTAGACCCAGAATACTTATATATATATGTATCAGACCTAAACCTATTCAGATCAGATCAGAGCAGTATCAGTCGGATTGATCGGAGAATCATTATTATCTCTATATGAGGTTTAGTTAGTTCCTATGCCATAAATACCTTACCGGAAGGTGCAATGGAAACGGACAAAGAATCAATTTATCATTAAATCACGTCGCCATACGTACTAATGATATTTACCAATGACTGCACTCATTTGTTGTCTAGTCGGCCTAGAAATGGGACGTATCATAAATTTCTGGAGAGGAAGTACTCACACAAAGGCGCTTGATCAGGCGAGCGGCCAACATGAGATTGATTTCTTTGAGTCTGTATATAGGGTCACATATATTACGGGTATTTTTTTGTATTTATGACTATTAAATTTATGACGCGAAAATAATATTTCATAACTTCATAATATATTTCATAATTATACTTCTTATAGTAACGAGTCAAAACTGTGTGAGTAGTGAAACGTCTGATTGAGATAATATTTGTCACAAAGCCATGACCAAATCTTGTATTTAAGCTACGCGGGCCATCAAAGTAAAAAGAGTTCAGAATTACATAGTAGTAGTAGTAATTCTAGTCAACTTAAGAATATTGTAGACGAGGTTTTAGTAGCAAGCAGCATGTTCAAACAATAAGTTTCCTTTTCAGAACTTGTTTATTCATTCGAAATATGATTGATATCTTCAGAAATTAGTGCATTCTAACAAAAAACCTAAAAAGCTATAAGTACTAATACAAAAACGTGTAGTAAAATAAAATAAATGTGTAGTATGCCATATCGTGACATGTTCCGTACCTAATCTTTTTCATTTCCTTAGAAAATAGGCAAAAATACCAGATGAAACTGTAGATGAAGTTGATTTATTGTTCTATGTTCAAAAAATTAATTCACTTCGTTTATGCACATCTTGTTGTCGTATTAATGAGCTGGATTTTGTACTATTTGTCATAGCGAAACTTTTATGCACAGGATTGTCTACATACGAACGAAGCATACAATATAAGGTATACAGTTACGCTGTGCAGTTGGTGACACTGTTACTTATGTGCGGCGAAATATGGTTCATGTTCACCGAAGCATCCTCTTTGGATCAAATTACGAAATCTTTCCTTGTATTCGGTCTTCAGTGCATTAGTCAATTCAAGTTCTGGAATGTGGTAAATATATTTGCATATAAAGATTTTCTATCCTGGAACTTTCAAGAGTAGAGTATATATTAATTTAATACAACTGACAAGTGATATAGAAGTAAGTGCTATTATTCTACTATTAAACATTTTTCTTTTCAAATTAAATTGGTCAAATCTCAATTTGGTTCAATTTTTTAATCTCTTTTTTTCCTAAATAATGTTAGGACACAGATATTTTTTTGAATAGAGTAAGTAACTTGAAGTAGAAAATAAATATAATTATCACAGAATAGTGTGATAAAAATAAGTAATAATATATACGAGTAAATGCCCATAATGATAAAAGTAAGACTTTTGAGCTATGCATCAATCGATTTCTTATATAAAGAAATTACATTATTTATTTAATTAAAAACTAAGAAGTAAAGAAAATAATTTCAAAATACATATGTTCGATCTATTTTAGGTTTCCAATAAATCGTTATTTCATAAGCTCGCGAGGTCAATGGAATCACCATATTTCGACATCTCAACTGAATCGCGGCAGAAGATAGTCAATACCTGGGCGGAAAAGAATAAAAAGAATTTGAAATTGTTTTGCTTCATTGGAATAAGTTCTCTTCTCTCGTGGTAATAATTTTAATGGTTTCGTTATTTATAGAGTGAACCCAAACCTTAAGGACTTGAAGTTTTTTGGCTGATCTTTTAAGTAGGATCTAGGTATTTAGGATAAGAAAAAATTATCTTCACGGCTGGCTAGAATCGGTTTGATCGAAATAAATAATTTTTATTTTTGATGAGCGTGGCTGTGATCGGTTTTTTTTAGGTTTTTAGATCCTCTGTTAGACGACGCTGAGTACAATTTAGCTGCTGACACTAGGCTGCCTTTTAATTTTAAAACCCCAGGGCTCTACCCGATAGCGTACATTATGGTAATGATAGCATTATGGTATGCCGGCTTTTATGTACTGGTGACTGGTCTTACGATGCAGGCACATCTTGTACACCTTCTGTGCCAGTTCATGGTACTGGTAGACTGTTTTGAAAATCTGTTGGAGGACTGCAGCGCGAATTTCATAGGTAAGTTATCAAATAAAGTAAGTAATCTTTGTTAAAACTATTGAATTATAGTTGTCCATGAGATTAAAGAGTTTGGTGATGTCATAACTTCACCCATATTTATCCTTCAACGTTAACTGCTTAGAAATAGACTGTTCTATTTTTGTATAATAATTTATCGTGTAAACCTATTATTGTTATCTTGTAAAAAAAATTTTGGTAATCATTTGGTGATGGTCTGCATATTACTTTACTTTGGCGTAATCGTAGTTTCCTAGTTTAAATATTAGGTCTTTACATATGAAATAAGCGTTTTGTCGTACTGACCACTTTGATCTGAAATATCTCCTCTGTTTTTAAGAATGCCAAATTTATACTAATAAATTCATTTAGCTGGTACATTTGAGTTTTGGAAACAGTCATTCATTTGTTGTTTCCTCATTATTTTTTTCTTTGGCGTCGCTTATTACCGCACAATGGAAAACATGAAATATCGGTATATTTACGAGTACGAGTTTGCACCAGTGCTGCTGAAACAGCTCGAAGGATTAATGATGTGTACGGCGCTGGTGTCGCAAAAGAAAGCATGGTACGTTTTTGGTTTCGAACTTTCGACCTTCAGAACCAACTCTAGGCCATTGCTGCTTCACGACAACGCAAGACCACACACTGCACAACAAACAACCACTAAGTTAGATGAGCTACAATTGGAGTGTCTGCGACATCCACCGTACTCCCTGGACCTTGCTCCAACATATTACCATTTCTTCCGGAATTTGGACTACTTCTTACAAGGAAAAAAAATTAACTCCGATGCGGCAGACCAAACCGCCTTTAAAGAGTTTATTGATTCTCGCTCCCATGGTTTTTTTAGTAAAGGGATCAATGAACTACCTATGAGATGGCAAAAGTGCATAGATAACAACGGTGCATACTTTGATTAATTAAATATATTTTACGAAAAAAATATGACTTTATATTCCACCAGTACAAAACGCCAATTTCATATGTAAGGATCTAATAAATTGCTAAACAGTGACTTAGGTGTATTAAGTGCAAAATTAACAATTTAACAGTAAATTTATAATTTACTTTTAAAACACACAACAGGTGGCGGGTGTGAAAGGTAAAACATAAGTGGGTCTCATACATAAACGGAAATGATTTGAATATAACAAAGTTTACATATCTCTAACTCTCAGATTAGCTCTGGAAGTTCTTTTGTTGCTTAAAATACTGTAATATAGACCTATGAAATACTTTAGTTGGTATTAGTCTCCAGTACCTACTTCGAGGTTCGAGGATTTACAGAAATGTCTCTACAGTGTTGGATATGATTTTTAGGTATCAACGAATGCGATTTAATTCACAATAAAGAGTTTGCAGAAAATATTACCAAAAGACTTGGCAACTTAGTGAAACAACATCAATTTATTTTAAGGTAAGTGCTAAATTCTTAGAAATTAGACGCCAGTATATAAGTGACTTAATACTAATAAGGGGTACGACGGAGGAAGTTCGCCGCCTCTGTTCTGCGGTAATACTGACAATCCATTGCCCTCTACAGAGCACGGACTAAGCGCCTTTCGGTCTCTTTCTGTTGTTGTTGAATGATTGCCCAACATTGAGTTAAAACAACACTAGAGAAGCAAACCTCATTATCACACGTCGAAAAAAGTGTAACCACTTTTGAACTTTGACGACGTAGCTTTGATACCACGAAACATTTGAAAGTAAACATATTTATGTCTCATTTACACGCGAGACAAGAACAATACCATCGCTCGGATTAGACAAAGACAAAGACATAACTTTACGATGGTGGGCCAGTGTTGACTACCGTATGAAATTTTACCCATAACAACCAAGAAACAATTTTTTTTTAAAACAATTTTGTTAAAAAAAAAAAATTAATTTAAATATTTTAAATAACATATTTCGAATTGAATGGAATAGGTATAAATAATAAAATAACTAGAAATATTTGGTTAAAAGGGTTTATATTCAGTGTAAAATCAAACTCCGCTATGAAGCATCAGTTTTGTATACAATTGTCTTTTAGACTCTTTTTTATAAGTTTGTGTGAATATTTTACTTTCATGATACAATCTTATTTTTACCTATGTATAAATAATGGCATTTAATAGTAAAAGTGAATGATCAACTTGTACTGATAATAAATAATCCCCAGGGTGTATTGCAAATTCTTTTAATACTTTAAAATACAAATAAAAAATATATATAAAAAATATATATATTTTTTTTGTTTTTTATTTTTTTTTATTTATATTTATTTACTTTTTTATTTTATATATTTTTTTTTGTACAATTGTTATTTATATTTGATAATTAATTAAGAAAAATGAATGAATGAATTAATTAATTCTTTTATACAAAAGTCTCCAGCACTGCGAGCTTGGCAGAAGGTGAACGTTCAACGGGTCCCTAAAAAAAGTGATCGATTCAGCCCTAACAACTACCGTTCTTCCTATATTTTATTATTATTGACAAAATGTTTAAAAACAGTATAAAGCATATTATTTCATAACTTATAAATTCTCCCACTAATGTGGGAAAACAAAAATGACTTTTTAATGGTAACACTGATTCTAAATTACAATTATCAATGTTTTATTTCAATTATAGCCTTATTTACGATATTATCAATACAAAAACCATAAACTTACACGTGATAAGTAATTCCGCATGATTTATTATGGTTTTGTGACCTTGAATCGCATTCTTTCACTACGCATTTACCCATTTTGGCGATTGTTACTGTCATGTGTCGCTATGTTCAACTCGGTTGACGCCACATTGAACACTGAATTGACGTTTGCTACGCATATGCCTGTGGACAGATGTGCAGTAGCAACGATTTTAGGCGGTAATTACTCATCTATGTAAGTATTATATCAATGTTGCCCAATCAAGCGTAGCGGGTAGCTGCCATTCGGATCACACGAGGATACCGCACCATCTCGTTGGAGTTGGAGCGTTATATACCTACTGACTTGACGTAACTGACAGGTGCATGCCTGCGTCACTCGGTATATACTGCCTAGTGTACGCTGGGCGCAGCCATCTCTTTCCGTGAAGCTGTAATGCTTCAAAAAGGATGTATGATTAATCGATCATCATAGACGATTTGTCTGCATTCCAATGTATAACTTTATACCTTGACTCTTGGCTTGGAAAGATATGTCTTATCATAGTGATAATAACGTTAATTAATTAAGTTAAAAATAAAAAAAAATATAATAAACACTTTCTCATGAGTATTGTAGCCTCACGAGGGACTTAAAAGCCGTCTTGAGCGTTCCAATGCTAGCCCAGTTAGCAGTCACTGGCTCGCTGGTATGTGTTGCTGGTTATCAGGGAGCCACGGTAAGGGTGTTCTTCTATTCTATATTCTATTTCAATGGTATAGGGGCAAACGAACAAGTGGGTTAACTGATTTTAAGTGGGTAGGTGACTGCCAAGAACAAGTGCAACTCTAAGTGTGCATATGTTGCCACTGTTAAAGAGAAGAATATATATCTTGCATGCCTGTCGAGCCAGCCAATTTGTGCTGACCATGGCTCTAAAACGCTGAAATTTTATATTTACGAGTATATTAATTTTTATTATTTTGTGTTACCATGTTCGATTTTTGTTTGATTAGTACTACTTGTGACTTTTGAGTTGCTTACCATCAGGTCACCCGTCTGCTTGTTTGCCCCCTTATACCATAAAAAAACTAAATTACTCCTAATTTAAAAAATAATAAACACAAATATTCTTGTGATTTTCAGACTTTTGACCAAGGTGTAGTCAAAGCTTTAATGAGCATAATATTTTTAGTATACAATATATTTGAGCTTTACATCGTTTGTAGATGGTGTGAAGAAATCACTACCTTGGTAAGTTTTGTTTGTTTATGAAAGCTAGATCGACCAGCAATCTTGTCAAGGATTAACATCGATGTTTGTGAGGTCTAATTGTCGAGTCTGATATAGTATTGTATCTAGGTAGATCGGTAGTGGGTAGCTAACCTCTTTAAGATAGGGCAAGTATTTAATATCTGGTTGGTTTCGCACTGATGAGCCCTTATGGTCAAACTAGAGGCAGTAGCTTTTTTTCTGTAAGCGATAGTAGAATATTTGGTTTTCAACATACTTAGCGTTAGCATATTACTTTTTAGTCAGTTGAACCCAATTGGACCATTAAAAAAACTCTTCCCAGCTATCACCACTAAACAGGGCAGTATCGACAACAAAAGTGATTTCTCTTTGTAAAACTGGAGCTTACACAGGTTATTGATACCTACCAGAAAGTGGGTCAGGCCGAGGATACTGCCTTGAGGAACTCTGAGTTTTATTGGAAGTTAGTCACTAGAGAGAGTTAAAATACAGAATCATTTATTTTAACTACGGTATACCCCTAACGCTAATCGCTTGCAGCCTTTTCAGGTAGAGTATGACAGAAACCATGTCAAAAGCTTTTTTCCCACTCTTATGGATTAGTTTGTTTACGTTATTTTGAAAGTTCTCAGGAAAGCACTAGGTGAGGGAGTACTTTAGTACAACAGATTACCGGACAAAATAAAGAATTCTGTGAGGTTTCTATATTGTAGATTGAACTTAAGAAAACGCTTAAGTCAATTAAAAAGAAATCATACTTCAATGTATAAATTTATTAACAAATATCTTAGACATACGAGTATAGTGATTTAAAAAAAACCATGAAAATTTTAGTTTATAAATCCCCCCAATTCGTTAATTACAAGAAATCATCGATAATATTATTTCAGAGTTCAAAATTAGGTGAAGCAATATACTGTTCTGGTTGGGAGCGTGGTGTGTCCCAGATCCGTGGCGTACGGCCCACCATCTTGATTGTGATGGCTCGAGCCCACAAACCTCTATACTTCACAGCAGGAGGAATGTATAATCTTACCGTTGATTCTTTTGCCAGAGTAAGTGTTCAAAGTTATTTCACAAAGAACGTACATTACACCATGCTTACACTACTATTAAAGTTTTCATATGAGTTTTATTAGAACAAGTTCTTTGAAAAAGCATTGCAGGAATATCTTATGAGATTAATATTTAGATTTTATTGTCGCATTAAACTGTTCATTGCTCAATAAAAGAAGCACTATTATGATATTATACGACTATTTTTTTTTTCAGCTGATGAAAGGGTCCTACAGCGTATTAACAATAATGTTGGGATCTCGTTCTGAATAGGTTATCGATATGAGTATATAAGTTATGTTACTAATGAACTACTACTACTATTAAACTAATAATAATTACTGTTATATAAGTTAATTATCCCAGTAATTTCTCTTAATTTTTATTGTTTGCTTTTTCTGAATTAGAATTATATTTGTACAGAAAATACTGCTTGCTATAATTATATAATTTGTTTATCATCAGATGTCACTAGGTTATATCCTACTTCCTTTCATGTTTTGTTTCGACAGTCTGTCAAACAGCTTTTCTCAGTTTACAAGTAGCCGGTTTTATTGGGAATATAATTAATTCACACTTATGTTGCACTTACATACGGCACTCTAAGCAGTATATAATATAGCATAACATAAATAATATAGCATTTTAATCTCGTTGTTCATTAATATAACAATAAATATGTGAGTGCAAATGATTGTTTTATTCATTGATAACTAAACTAGCAAATTCATCGACATTATTTTGATGTAAATATCTATCATCATTTTGACTGGCAGATGGGAGATGAACCTCATGTCAAAGTATAATGTTTTAACTTCTAATGATTGGTTTTTGATGTTAGTAAATTTTGCATTAATTTTTAGACAATGTTAATACGTAAGTTCTTATGACTGTCTGTGATTCATATTTGTATATATACATTTATCCATTGAGCATACAACAATCGCAATTCTAATGCATGCATTAATTGCGTGATCGTGAACCCGTGTTACAGACTTTCTACTGAACTTGCAGCATAATACCTACCTGTGTGCCATGTTAGGTATCGGTTCGTCTTACTGTCTTACTAAAATAGCTCGGATGCAATCGACTGTAGCAATATGGATCACAATGTCCCAAAAATTGTGAACAGACTGAACTGAGAACATGACCGAGGTTTAGAGTAATGGAACAGAGATTTGTCAGTTATGTAATCTTTTTCTGTATAATAACATTTTTTTACTAACAAGTCGTGTAGCACCTTTTTATATTTAGTTACTTCTTTAACTATTCTGATATCTCACAGAATAATGTGCATGCGTTTTACTAGCACCTTGTGCATTTTATCCTTAGATCTTATACGCTTACAATAGTTTAATAGTTTATATTTTTTTAATAAATAAAGCGACCTCCAGAGTGTAAAAACTTGGTAAAGTTAAAATGTTAGGTTTTTTAAAATTTGATACACACAAGTCGGTTTTCTGCAGATTGAGCATAGCCCTGCTTTATAAATGCCCGGCCTTTGTCTGTACTATTACCCTAAACTATTATGCCATATCTTAAGGTTGAACAATATTTTTCAAATGCCTAATTCAAAACCATAATTATAAAGCTTAATATTTCTTTAGTGTCATATCTGATTTAACCTAACTTTATTCATGGACACCTTCAGGGCAGGTTCATCAGTACCGATGGTATAAAGCAAATAAAGTGATCCGGTTATAAACTTTAAAAGGAGTTAATTTTATAATCTGTAAAAGATAAAATAGTTTTTTGGTTTCTAATGAAGGATGTCAGTAACATAAAATGACTAATTTGTAAATAAGAACAATATAAAACTCAATGGCCGTGAGATAGCTGAATTAGTCATTAATTACACCCTGCTAACAAAGGAAGGTCGTAAGAATAGGAGCGCGAAGGATGGAAGTATTCAAATGTTCAAACAAAGCGTTCTGACTTCAGTAACAAGAAAGTTGTTAAAAAAGACGAGCCTTTGATAAAAAACGTCTACAAAAATTTTGTTACTCCTAATGATTACTGCTTTGTAAATAAGCCCGTTAAAGCTCTTTTTTTGAGCTGAGGTATCAAAGGAGCTTAGATTCAGATCCAGCATAGTTTTCTTATTACGCATTTATGTGATTGAATTTTTCTACTAAATTAATCGAGAGTATGGGATGGATATTTAAGTAAACAGTATTTTAATTTTTAACCTATGCTTGTTTAGTCTAAACGATAAAGCTCTTTTTCTTCTTTTTCTATAGACTTTCATATTAAATCCATCCTGCTTGTTTGCATGTAGGTATAATTATGATGATTTAAAAGGTCCTCACTCAATGGTTATCTACTAAATATTGATTGCTGTTAATGGATTTTAAATGAATAAGTAGAACGTAAATATAATGAACGACTCAAAGGCATTAAATAGTTTAAGAGTTTTACATTATTCATAGGTCCCGTGTTCAAAGGATCTTGCAACACAATAGAATAAATGGTAGTAGTTTCACTCATGTAAATATGCAAATTCAGAATCCAATTTGTATCTCTATAATGGGACTTATGGGCGTTTATAAGATTTGTACAATTGCAAAATGATTGAGTTTAAGTAGGTTCAACATTTTTTTGTTAGATGTAGATCAAAAGGAAATAAAAACTCTTATAAGATGACGTTCTTGTTTTTTCATCTGTCTATCTACCCTACTGTCAACACCATTTTTCCCAGGAACACGTGAAAGTATCAAGTGAAAATTAACATCAATCCTTATGTACTCGTAAGTCAACATAATAGAAAGAAGTTAAATAGTTTAACGTTTTGGTGAGTCAAGGGAAATAGTAAAAAATCATTATTTTCTTGTTATCACATGAGTGTTGTTTCCCTGCTAGCTTCTCCACCACCATTATCATCATCATCATCATGCCAATAGCCAATAGGCCATACAAACAGACATAGGCCTCTCCTAAGAAATGAGATTTTGGCCTACAATACCACCCTGACCAGAGTTGGTGTAGAGTTTATTTCGAGTTTTCCTCCTCTTTGCATTGCTGTTGTTCTGCAGAGTTTGCTTCCTTTACGATACCCACGGGATGAATAGGGGTGCTGACACACGAGCACGCCGTTATCGCGGCGGTAAGACCCGTTATGGAGGATTGGCTCGAGACGCATCACGGAACCGTCTCTGGTGATCACCGACAAAGGAGGCTTCGGAGATCACCTGTGTCTGATCCGCAATGAGACAACGCCAAGGTAACATGTTTGCCGCCATGGTACAGAGAGAGAGAGAGAGTGCGTGGAACTCCGCCGTCTCGGTCCCTCGGTCGCCTCCGCCGTGGTCGGTTCGAGTCCGACATAACCCACTGGTGGGTGGTATCCGAGGGCTCTTACGAACAAAAAAAGGGTGGTGACACATTGTATTCTTAATCCATCAACACACGGAAACGTCTTAACGGACCACTATCAGGGGTCCATAAATTAAAAGGTTTGAAATATTTTTCTTGCGCCGAATTTGAACAAGAAACTTGTACAAGAATCTATAGTAACTAAACGAGAGTTAGTGGACTAGTAAACTATTGCAACTATCTTCTTGGTTAGTTTTAGTCGTAAGTTTTCCATTGTGACGTCTTTTGATTTGCATGCAGTGCAGGATGTTCACCAACATGATGTGCACGGATGATCTTATAAAGATCGCTGTCATTAAGGGGCCTAAGGCCCTAACCCTCAGCGGACTTAATATGGCTGATGATGTCAAATCTGATGACCGCAATTTTTTACAAAGGGTTAATTACATGTATTCCTTTTAACTTAATGATTACCATGTTGATAAAGAAATAACCACAGTAATATAAGTATCTGTTTAATTATTTTTTAGCATTTATTGCAGACAAAGTAATGATTTGTGAACATAATTTAGTAAATCTAGAATATTCTTCATTGTATTGTTGCGCCATAGGATTAAATGGTTCGATTGTATGAAATGTGGGGACAGCGCTATCTAGTATCGACCAAGTACATCTATTATGATTGTGGTTAATACAAGTAGTTCTGATCCTTTCAGCGCTAGATGGCGTTGAAAGTAACGCGTGACTGATTCTGGAATATTCATGTTTGTCTGGAACGGACTAGGAACTTTCTAGTAAAAATCAAAAGCTTAATAAAAGCGGACCGCTCGTTACAGTATAAACAAAACAAAACAAAACATTCTTCTACGTTTTTTAATATATTTTCTTAATAAATACGACAGATAAAGTGAACAGATCAGGGCTACTAAAATTCTCATTAAAATTTCGTCCCGGCTACTGTTGCCTTGCACGACAAGCCATTTTAATGAGAATTTCTGTAACCTTGATTAAATTACTTTGTTTGTCAGAAAAGTTAGAAATCTTTCTCTAATCTCTAATTTAATATTTATAAACAGTATTAATATAAGTTAACAATTCATATTTAGAATTAAAATAAAGAAATTTATTTGTTAGTTAAACAATGACAATTTTTTAAGCGGGGTGTAAGCAGGGTTACCTACCATCTTACTCCTCATAGCGTCAACCTCATCTGCACGTGGTGCACACTGCCGATCAACGGACGAGGCTCTGACGACTGACTCGTGTAACTACAGCACTGCGAGAATCACTAAATAGCGATACTGATGACGGGGAGCAGCGCCACCAGGTAACTATGGCAAATTCCTCGAACATGAATCGCAACCACATTCCACGGCCCCCACAATTCCCTGCAGTCGCGCTATTAATAGCCACGGTACCGGCCACAGTGACGTTTGGCACAGGAAGTTGGCAGTGTGTCGTCAAGTCATATTCCTTGAAGGTTGTACGAGTACAAGTGTATGCTCCCACAATTACATATCCTGACGACGAGGTCGAAACCATGTACGAAGATGTAGCTGGGGCTTTGTCTCGTAACAACACTTCTTTCACGGTTGTCATGGACGACTTCAATGCGAAAGCAGGAGCACAAGATTAGTAGTAGATAGTACTGTTCGGTTACAGGCGCAGATTTTCACGCTTCTCTTCTTCTTTTTGGAGATACAGGTATGAGGGTTCCGTGATGCCTCTCGAGCCAATTATCCATTATGGGTCTTATCGCCACTATAACGGCGTGCCCTGTACTCGATTGCCCAAATCGTTCCTTCCACTCCTCCACCAAGACCTGGCGGAGCTGGGATTTCTGATTCTCGGTTTGTCGAGACTAAGAACTCCAACCCAACTCCCACGACTCCTTGTGCCACTGATACAGAACCGAAAGGGCTCTCGCCTCCGGATCCCACGGTCCCTTGTGACCCTGATGGCCATTACTCGCTGCAGTCGTCGCAGTATTGCGACGTAGCAACGTCGCACTTCTGGGGCCCCATAAAGGGCCATGGACCGCACAACCTCCGAGTAGAGTCTCCTACAGGAGTCATCGGGTCCCCTCATGTTACCCTCAACCAACTTGAGGAACAGACTTCGGGAATGATGTCGATGGGATGGGATGAAATCGATGGGATGGGATTTCATGGTGGAGCGCCCTCGGGCGCAATTTGTATAATAGATAAAAACTATCTTAAAGCGGTTCGTATATTGTGTCAAAATTTGGGAATAACCTCTTGAGTTTTCTAAGTTAAATGTACCTATTCTAAATGTATGTTCAATATGTAATTAATGTTTCTCCAAATATGTCTGAGCTTCATAACCTCGAAAATCGTATTTTTACAATGACAAAAATACGAGTGCATTGTAGTGACTGATGAATGCGCGTGTGGGTACAACAAAAAACAAGCAGATAGAATTAAAACTTTGTATTAAATTAGCTGCATAATCGCACATGTTTACTTAAAACAATACATTAATAAAACTATTATTAGACCAATTAAACAAAAAAAAACTTAAAATACACTTAAATAAATTTAGAAAGGAGCTAATAATCTGCAAAGGCTGAATAGTTTTTCTTTAACTGTAGCTAAAATATTTTCTAAGAAGTCACCATTCAAACAAGAAACAGACACATACGAGTACATGCATAGCAACATAATTATGTCAAACTTACAACACGTTATTTTCGCATCTTAAAAAAGTAGGTACTTATCCAACATTTCAACGTCGAAAAACATTGAGACTCTTATAAAACTAACTTCTGTAAGAAATAAATTAAGGCAACAACAGCCCTGGGTAATTAATAGCAACGTTGATCCTTTGATGTTGAATATAATTGATTAAATGATCGTTAATTGCACGGTAGAATGTTGAATCATGAAACAGTACGTAAAACTGTGTCCATTTTACTCTGACTTTAGGGGTGTATTTTGAAGATTATTATTAACACAACAGCTTAAATACCACTACGATAGTAGTGGTATTTAAGGTGTAAATAACCTTTAGATATGTTAAAGACATGGCAAAAAGGGAAGGTGTTTACGCTTAGGCTAAAACATTCAGACCAATCAATTTTATTATTTTCTTCTAAAAGCACTTAACCGCTTTGTGAGTGAGATCGGAATAGTATCTGCCTGATTAATTAGATAGTTAATTTTCTCTATATATGGGATTTAGTTTGTTCCTTTGCAAAAATGGCATACCAGAAAATGCAATGGAAACGCACAAACAATTAAATCAATTTTGCATTAAATCAAGTCCGCGTATGTTCTAATAATATGTGTCACTGACTTCACTCATTTATTGTCAAGCCAGCCTAGAAATGGGACGCTTCAGAAATTTCTGGAGAATGATTACTCACACAAAGGCGCTTGATCGACCGAGCGGCCAATTTGAGATTGATTTCTTTGAGTCTGTATATAGGGCCACTTATATTACGGGTATTTTTTTAAAGATTTATAATTGCATCATCATCATCATCAGCCTATGGCAGTCCACTGCTGAAAATGGGCCTCCCCTATTGCACGCCACTTGGATCGAGTTTCCTCTTCTCGCATCCAGCTCCTGCCAGCCATTTAGCGCAGATCGTCACTCCACCTGGCCCCTCCTACACTACGTTTCCCTAGACGAGGTCTCCACTCAAGAACTCATTTACTCCAACAGTTGTCGGTTCTGCAGCTAATGTGGTCAGCTCACTGCCACTTCAGCTTGTTAATCTGGTGGGCTAGGTCGATGACTTTGGTTCTCTGCCGGATCACCTTATTCCTGATGCGATCCCTTAGAGAAACACCGAGCATAGCTGTTTCCATAACACACTGAGCGACTTTACTGTACCGTAAGTGTTTAGGACCTGTCGGATCGACGACGATGAGAAGACTCGACGTAGTATCCCACACGCTGCCAACTCAACTGAATTCTTCCGTTCACCTCGTCCTCGAAGTTGTTTCTACCTAACTGCACTGTGTGGATTTGGTCTATGGTACCATATCCGCTCTGAAACCCAGCTTGCTCCGGTAGTTGGAATTCGTCCAGTCTTCGCGTAAGACGGTTCGTGATGACTCCTTAAACCACTTTTAGACGTGTCTTAGAAGGGAAATTGATCGGTAGTTCTTCAACATGGTTTTGTCACCCTTTCTGAAAAACCAGGATGACTACATTCCTACTCCACGCCTCCGTAGTTCTCCCTTCAAACCACGTTGAAAAGCTTTTGAAGCTACCTTAGTACGGGTTTACCTCCAGCCTTCAGCAGTTCTATTGGAGCGATTTTTTTCACAGTAGTAAGTCCTAGTAGTAGGCATAAGAATAAGGCAGAGGGAGCATAAGCATGGATTTCGCGCTGGGGATCTCCAAATTCGTTTTAACTTAAAAAAATCGCGACCCTCGATTTTTTTCGTTTTTTTTTCGCTGCTGCTTAGAAGCGCTCGTGGAAAAATCACTGGATTTTATTTGCGTTTTTACGGCTCTATCAGTCATCACTCAGTCAATACCGAAAGTTTTATCATTAAAACTCCATATAATTAAAGTTCCATCACGAAGTCCTATCTTAACTGGAAAGAGGAACTTGGAGAAACAAACAGCAATATTGCACTAGTTATTCGCCTCAACTTCATGCAGTTTAAGTCAATAGAACGTCCTCCTCTACCTGGTTTGTTAATTTAATTGAAACTTATGCACAGGACTGTCGTCGGCTGAACGGAGCGTCGGATATAAGCTGTATAGTAACCTCGTAAAGTTGGTGATCGGTTTATTCCTATGTGGAGAAATGTGGTTCATATTGACTAATGCTTCCAGTTTGGATGCAGTAGTCTCGTCTATTAGCGTAGTACTCATACAATGCATCACCTTGTACAGATACAAGAATTTGGTGAGTAGTCACGTATTTTGTTAAATAATCTATACTAATATTATAAAGCTGAAGAGTTTGTTTGTTTGTTTGTTTGTTTGTTTGTTTGTTTGAACGCGCTAATCTCAGGAACTACTGGTCCGATTTGAAAAATTCTTTCAGTGTTAGATAGCCCATTTATCGAGGAAGGCTATAGGCTATATATTATCACGCTAAGACCAATAGGAGCGGAGCACCAATGAAGAATGTTTCAAAAACGGAGAAAATTTATTACTATTGAGAGACGCAGACGAAGTTGCGCGGTTCAGCTAGTATATAAATATAACAATAGGGCCAAAACGTACTCCTCAAATCAAAAAAGTGTAAACAAACTGCATTTATAGTATTTCTATTTTGATGTTTAGGAATACTGAGTAATGCTGATAGGATTGAAATATAGTGGTAACCTCTTGAAATTAAGGATTACTAAATAAATTGCAATTAATGAACCAGATTGGTTTTGAAACAGTAATATTATTACAGTTATTTCTTTACAATTCAGACACATGTAAACGTCTGATTATATACTAGTACATAAATGTATAAACGCATAAAACACACACGTCAAAACCTGACCAGGTATTTGTTTTTGTTGTGTGCACATTAAGTAGACTATATTAGCGGCTTTAAGACACCGATTTATGTCAGCCTGCAGCCAATGATATTTTAAGGAAGATACGTTATACTCCTACTGCACGCACAAAACATTTGTTCTGTAACACTATACATACATTATACTCGTAGATTAATTTAAAAATAATTATGAAAATCTATACACTTACATGTGTTATGATATTCCTTCATCTTTATTTACCTTTTGTAGTTATTTGTACACTTTCGGCATAAACAGGAAGGCATTTTATGAACTTTCTCGACTTAATTAGTACGTGCGCTCGCATGCAGTGGTCCTAATTAGGAACAATTCATAGCGCACGTTGTGTACATTGGTGACGTAGCTGGTACCTATATCTCAGGTTTTACCTTTTAGGTACCAGCCGCATATTCTATGTGTAATTGTTATATAATATATGAATAAATAAATATAAATATATAAAAAAAATGAATAATTAAGGTAGATCAATACAGTGATTAGAATTAGAATCTACTTCTTGTATGTATAGATGTGACATCTTAACTTCCACTGTTGCTAATATAGGATTGATACTTATGACTAGCATTAAATTATTATCTTATTCTAATGAATAATGTCATTTGAATTTAACGCTTTTCCTTAAATATTAACATTCAGTTTTTGTACATTCATTTTAGATTGCCAATAAATCATTTTACAACAAACTGGCGATATCTATGGATTCGCCATACTTTGATACATCAACGGAGAAGCGAAAAAAATTGGTCAAGGCTTGGGCACAGACGAATGAGACATATTTGAAACTGCTTCTCTTCCTAGGAAATAGTACACTTATCACTTGGTAATCAGTCTGGTATATTAGTAGATATAACGTTTATTAGATTATAGGCACTTTTGGTTGCACAAAATACTGTGATGGTCAATCGTGTCTAGTATATTTCATATGGAATTTGATTGACTTGTAATCAAATTAATATTCATTCTATTTCAATACATTAGAACTTACTAACAAGCCGATCAGACTATGAAGACTGACCACACCCATACTAATATTAGGGGTTAAAGTATGAAATTGCCGATTTGTAAAGCTATGAGAAAGCTATAGTGAAGAACACCATGAAAATACTACCAAAAAGTTACCATTACTCTTTGGCTGACCTGGGGTCAGCCATTGTATTTTTCGCTTACCGTTATCGTAAACAATCTACTTTTCGTCATTTGTCACAATTGGATCCAATATTCCTTCATTTCTGTACCGATTCAACAAGGCAACACTAGTTTCAACACGCATCTTTTCTGCAGATCAGTTAAATCATGAGGCACCCATTTTTTTATCTTATTGATTTGATGCAAATGAGTCAATATCTAGGTAAACCATGCCGCTAATGCCTGGGTAGTTTGACTTGGATCGGCTTCCACCATCTCCTTCAATTCAGCGTTATTCACCTGTGTGGGCGGTCTTCCACGTGGTTCGTTCTTCAAGTCCATTATGAAAGCATTTAAACCAAAAACGCACGTCTCATCTCCAAACGCAGCGTTGATATTGCGAGACTTTTCAGCCACGTTAGTCCCGCATTGGAACTCGTATTCAAAAATGATTCGGTTTACAAAGTATCTGTCTTTCACGTGTTAGCTGAATAAAAAACAATTGGAAATCAAGAATCGCATGCTGCACGTTTTTTAAAACCTTATAGGTATCTTGTGAAAATAGTTTTACACAGAAATCTCACACCATGAAGGTTTTATGTCAATTCAAAGTATCTATTACCATTAAACTGCAATTTTATACTTTTACCCCTTTTATATTAAAGTTTATATTTATTATCTTTAAATTTTATTGATTGACTGTAGTCGTATTAGTATTTCAGTTCTGAAGGAGTTACTTTAAGCTTAACTACATAACGTAGCTATAAAGTGGCTACGACTTGGATAAGCCTAAGATAATAAGCTGTGTTAAGTGATGATAATTACTAACTTATTTTAGGTTTATATACCCTCTGTTAGATGACGTCGAATACAACTTGATTATCGATGTCCACGTACCCTTTTACTACAAGACTCCTAAGCTGTACCCAATCGTGTACATCATGGTGGTGATAGCATTGTGGTACTGTGCATATTTTGTGATGGTGACAGCTTTGACTACACAAGCGCATCTCATACATCTTTTATGTCAATTCTCTGTACTGACAGACTGCTTTGAGAACGTTTTGAATGATTGCAGCAAAGACTTTGCCGGTAAGACATCTGTGATATGTTTGTGTTAAGGTTGTTATTTACACAAATGCTCAAAATAAATGGAAATAAAAGAAGAAAAGAAGTGACTAAGGCGATTAAAACGGAGAAGAAAATCTTAGAAGGACAGAGCATAACCTGGCGTGAAATAGGCTTTGCTTACTGACATAATAAAAGACGAAAAGAGTTTTGTTATTTTAGGGCATTTGCAATGTACTTTAAAAATGTGATTAGTATTTAGAAAAGCTACAATATTATTTAGTAAGCTATTGAATTTAATTTTACTCTTAAATGCAGCTCTCTTTAGATTCACAGATTTAAAGCCTTTGTTTGAACATGTAAATGAATTTATATTCACTTACATATTCAAATAAAGTCTGCAGACTACATATTAGCAGCTCATCGTTATCGAATAACTAACATTTATAAATAAGAAGTTGTAGGTACCTGTATTTTTTTTTAGAAATTTCTAATTTTATACTTTTCTTTTTTAATCTTTTTTTAGGTATCTCCACTTATGATTTAGCTTACAGCCAAGAGTTTGTGGAAAAATATACAACACGACTTGGCAACTTAGTAAAACAACACCAGATCTTATTGAGGTTCTTATATTTTATTAATTTATTTAATTTTATTTTTTGTTTCTTTGGGAAAATTACAGCTAGCATTTTAAAAACATAAGATATAACACATTAACAACATTAACGTAACATTAAATTGGAAGGCAGTAAACAAACACAAAGCCAGCCCTCATAGTCAATCAAAAAAAATCTTAGCTAAAATGTTTTTAAGTTCAGAAACACTGGTACCATATAGGTCTATTTCATATTGAGATGACATTTTATTTTATTGTCTACTCGCACGTATTTTGTCTACATGTACTCTTTACGCAAGGAACATACAAAAGACTAGGATTGCGCAGAATTGTGGGGTGTTACTAATCCTATCTTACCCAACAACTCTGGGCACTCCACTGAACCATTGGCGATTTTGGATAAATATGCTATGTCTGCAATATGTCTACGATCATAAAGGGGTAGAATGTGAATGTTTTTACATCACATGTTGTGATGTGTAATAACCAGTTTTGTGTTGTAAAAATCGCAAAAACCGTTTATGTATGCGCTCGATTCTCTGTATGTATATGTTATATTATAGATTGGGTTTCAGATCTGAGACACAAATTCTAAGTGGCTGCGAACAAACGTTAACATATAATATTAAAGCTTACAGTAGTATAGCAATACCTTAGAATATTACAAATGTTTTAACAACTGCTAGATTTTCAAGTCCAGACCAAAATTATAACTTCAAACTTTACAAAAATAACAAAGTACTTTCTGATAGAAACTTTATTGTATAATCTACAGGTTCATGAATTAAAATAAATAAAAACATTTAATTTTTATTACATTTACAGTTTATCACATTTATCAGTTTGAGGATATAAAAATAATCTTTTTTTTATAAATATTTTAGACACACGAGGGCACTAAAAGGTACATTGAGCCGACCAATGTTAGGACAATTGGCCGCTAGTGGTACCATAATGTGCTGCGTTGGTTATCAAGCTGTTATGGTAAGTTTTTATCTTGCCTGCGGTCTATTTTAGCATGTGTTACCTACATACCTATGAACTAGGCTCGACCAGGGTGATACCACGGCCTTACAGTAAAACCCGGTCTTAAGCAGTTCTTTCGTTGCTTTTTAACAAGTGAATAAGATTACCGGGGCCCAAACCCTTACCAACCCCTAATTCTCGGGGGAAGGATTGAAAGGGGGGCAACGCGCTTGTGACTATTGAGTTATAGGTGTCCGTGGTCAGGGGTAGTCACTTACCATCAGGTGACCTATCTGATTCCTTCCACCACCTACAAAATAAAAAAAATGGAAGACCGATTTTACACTAATCACAAATACTTGCCATTTTTTCAGACTATCACCGAAGGTATAGTTGAATGCCTTGTGAGTTTTCTGTTTTTGTCATACAACGTGTTTGAGCTTTACATCATTTGTCTTTGGTGTGAAGAAATCACAACTTTCGTAAGTTTTAAATCTATAGTATTTCAACTTGAACAACTAAATGTAGTGCACTAATAATAGGTCTTTACCTATGAAATTGCCGTTTTGTATGCAAATAAGTGAAAATACTTATTTTTTCAAACTTTTTTATTTCTGTTATTAGAAGTAATCACCCATGCAATCGACGCATCTTTGCCAACGCATTGGCAGTGTTTTGATGCCCTTCTTGTAAAAATCAGCTGGACGGGAGGCAACAAACTCTTCAAAGGCATTTTGTACTGCCTCTCGGGAATTGAATTTTTTACCCACTAAAAAGTTGTCTAAATTTTGGAAAAAGTAATAGTCGGTAGGTGCAAGGTCTGGTGGTCACATCTGCAACCAGCTTTGGTCAATCGGTCGTCCCCACTGCTCCTTCACGACAACGCGCGACCCCATACTGCGCAACAGACAGTCTCCAAGATAATTAATATTATTTAACGGGAATTAACGCGATCTCTTATTTAGGGTATTACATACCTCTGGTTTGCCTGACGTTTCGACCAGGTTGCACCGGCCGTGGTCACAGGCTGACTGGCTCATCGGCGCACGCCCTCCGTCGTCGAATCCGTGAAGTAGAAGGCTCTTCATCTACCCGCACATTTTCGATATTGTTTTTGTGTCGCCATGTACCGTCACATACCACACTAACAGTGTCCCTATTCTGTAAGCAAACCGATGAGTCCCTATTCTGGTGTTTAACCGATTGCGCAGAAAAGCGAGGTGGTATGTTTTTTAACACTGGATTCCACGCTGTAGATAATTTAAAACCATCTTCCCGATTGAAAGTTTTATGCTTTTTAATCTCAATCGCTTCACGTACAACTCTTGAGTAAAAGTGACGTTCGGTGGAGAGGACTTGCGTGCGGTGAAATTCAATCCAGTGGTTGATGCCTGCATCGAGTGCATGTTCTGCAATCTCTGATTTGCTCGTCTGTCGGTTCTTCACAGCAGCGATATGCTCTTTGACCCTTTCTGCAATAGTCCGCTTAGTTTGGCCTATGTATGAGCTTCCGCAGCTGCAGTCTATTTTATAAACACCCGGAGTTTGTAGTGGCAATGTATCCTTCGGTGTGCCGACGATGTTGTGAACCTTTATGCCTGGTGTGTATACTGTCGGAATGGAATATTTCTTTAGTACAGACCCGATCTTGTCCGTAACTCCCTTGACATAAGGCATATAGGCCGGTTGCCTGTTCACTTCTGGATACTTGCGTCTTATTTTCGGTTGCTTCCGTCCTCCTTTCACTTGATATCCGTTACCTTTGAGTACCTCCTGAACATGTTTTAGCTCCTGTTCTAAATGTTCAGGGTCACAGAGATCGTAAGCTCTGTTTTTGAGTGAAGTCATAACAGATTGACCGCAGCGGTACGTCAGGCTTATGTATCTTAGGCATACCATATAATTTCGGTGGCTGGTGTGACTTTGGTTTGTACAGTCTGTTGTACTCGTCTTCTGAAAATAGGTCCTCATTGTCCCGGATTAGAGATCGTATTTTTCGCGTTACTCTGGCCGTGGGGTTGTATGTTACCGGTTTATAAACCTTATTATCACTCAACAGTTCAAGTATTTTGCTTTTGGAATCAGTTGTATTCATCACTACGGTAGCGTTTCCCTTGTCGGCCTTAAGCACTAAAATATCCTGGTTATCCCTAATGTTTTTCAGTGCTTGACGCTCTTCGATAGTGATATTACTAGCCGGAAGCTTTGACCGACGTAATATTACCGCAACGTCCTGTCTTAGGATATCGGCATCGCCGGGCGGTACTTTGTTCCGTGTAATCGATTCCTCGACGCAACTGATTACATTCTCGAACGGTATTCGTTTAGGTGTCGGAGCGAAGTTCATACCTTTAGTCAAGATGTTCATTGTTGTATCATCTAAACTCACGTTTGACAAGTTTACAACGGTGTCCTTCGATCTCTCGGGTACCCCGGGTGACGCTTTATTTTCTGTATACCGTCGATTATATTCCTTCGAGAACTTTCGATCAAAATTTTTACTACATAACTCGAAGGTACGACTCGCTTGTAAAAACGTAACCTGGTCACACAAATCATAGTCCGATTGAGATAGATTAACACTGCACTTTAATTGTAACGCATATGACTCCCTCTGTATATACTCCAAATCACTGTGTTTGTTTCGAATTAATTGTCTCAGAAGACGTGCACTCGCGTTTTTTAGAATTTCACGTGAAAATGCGATATCACTACGCGGTTTTATTCGAACACACGAAGGTAATAAGTCCCAATCGCGACACTTCACAAGAAATATCAACGATGTTTCCATTCGCGCTCGTTTTTTACGTAAATATTCTAGGTGACGCACTTGTTTTGCAGGTTAGTGTTAGTTAGTGTTAGTGTGGTATGTGACGGTACATGGCGACACAAAAACAATATCGAAAATGTGCGGGTAGATGAAGAGCCTTCTACTTCACGGATTCGACGACGGAGGGCGTGCGCCGATGAGCCAGTCAGCCTGGGACCACGGCCGGTGCAACCTGGTCGAAACGTCAGGCAAACCAGAGGTATGTAATACCCTAAATAAGAGATCGCGTTAATTCCCGTTAAATAATATTAATTATCATGGAACGTGAAAGTTTAAAAGTTAGACAGTCTCCAAGCTGCAAGAGCTGGGGTTGGAAGCTCTCCCTCATCCGCCATACTCACCAGACCTTGCACCTACCTTGACCTTGCTCCCGTCCGGCTGATTTTTACAAGAAGGGCATCAATAAACTGCCAATGCGTTGGCAAAGATGCGGCGATTGCATGGGTGATTACTTAGAATAACAGAAATAAAAAAGTTTGAAAAAATAGGTACTTTCACTAATTGCATACAAAAAGGCAATTTCATAGGTGAAGACCTAATATTGAATCCAAATCCCTTAATCTGAATAAGATTATTATTTAAAAGGAAGCCGTAGCAGTAGTGCAATAGCTACGCTTAATTTTATATTTATTTATCTCAAAATAGGAGTATTTAAAATGTATGATTTTAGAGTTTAAAAATAGGCGAAGCAATCTACTGTTCTGGTTGGGAGTGTGGTATGACAAAGATCCGTGGTGTTCGCTCAAGCATTATGTTTGTGATCTCTCGCGCGAACAAACCAGTGGTCTTTACCGCTGGAGGGATGTACAACCTCTCTATTAATTCTTTTGCAAGTGTAAGTATAACATAAAAAGTTCCTGTATTTGATATTGAGCATTAATTTACATCGTAAACTAACTATAAGATTGCGACTAGACGTGATATTACCTCGGGCGTCCAAGAGTTCTAGACATTTTACATTGTATTTTAAAGATAACATGCGTATTTTATAGATTTTATACAATTATTTAATAGATTTCCAACTCCTCCAATTACTTCTGGTTCTTTTTATTATGGGTTCTCATTTCATTAGTCGGTGTGTTCTGCTGCTGAACCTGGATTAAAAATATTTGATAGTTTCATAAAAAATAATTACACAGTAAATAAAATACGCAAAAATAAGTAAGTTATATCGTTAAACGTTCAGCATATTCAGCCAACCTTTATATTTTTGTTAACTGATGCGGCGAAGTCGTGTTTATATAGTTTGCTAAAGACTTGCTGAACTTTTTGTCAACATGATCTCTGTCCGAAGCCTAGAAGCCAGTTTTTTCCGTCCTAGACGATAAACGATAGAGGATAACTGTTTTAGTTTTTAAGCTTATTCTAATGTAATATATTTTTTTACAGTTGGTCAAAGGATCATACAGCACTCTAACAGTCCTGTTACGATTTCGTCATACTTAGATTTACGACGATTGCACATTGCTGCGGAACAGTAGAATACTGATACGAGTACTAATTAATTTAATGATGTATTATTTAGTTAATATTTAAGAGGCAAGATTATCAGTTATATTTTTAGAGTTCACCGGATCTATGATCATGATATCCCTTATGAATTTCCTTGACCGTAACTAGTATTTCACCTAAAGTGACTCACAAGTGCCTATATAGATTATTTACAATATTACATTTACACACACTTATTTAATATGAATCGTAGGTTCACAAGCGAAGAGTCATACACAATCTTTGCCATAGGATACTTGGAACTTTGTGCGCCTTCTTAATTAAACGAAAACACAGGATTCATTTCAGCATGAGTTTAATCAAAAATTAAACATTCGTTATCCTTGCATCCTCACTAGATATTAATTTTGATTTTTTTGTTTTTAAGTTTGTCCTTCTTTAATTTAGATAAAAGTAAAAAGAAAAGAGCGTAATCCTTCCTAAAAGGTTGGCAACGCGTTTGTGATTCCTGAGTTGCAGACGTTCATGGGCGGTGATGGTCACTTTCCATCAGGTGACCCGTCTGCTCGTCTGCCCCCTCTAACATAAAAAAAAGTTAAAATTAATTTGTTTTCTGTATTTATAATTTATTTATATTCAGATAATAGAAATAAAAATACTGTAAAAATATCCATTGCTATCGACTTTTCAGAAAATTCAGTTTGTGAAAATGTTTGAAATAAAATTGATTGCACTTGTATGACGTAAAGATATTCTGTACCCGTTGTAGACGTATTTTCCAAAATATATTAATAAAAAAATTTGCTTACGTGTTTTTATTTACGTTTTTGCACTATATCAAGATAGGGCTGAACTTGGCCTTGGACATTTTGGTACCCGCACTATTGCGGGCAGGTGCTAGGAGGGGTCCGGATGTCTTAATTACACCTGTTCCCGGAAATAGGAGCCCCCTCGGGCCTCAAACTCCGGTGGGGTGATGGCTCGAGGAGGCTTCAAATCAAATCAATTCAAAGTTTATTTGCTATAAATGTAGGTACATTCTTCAACATTATTAAAAAGTCCGAAACACTAAAAACACCTGAGCGCTGACTGAGGTTAGTTTCCCTAAAACATTGTCTATTTAAATATAACAAAGCAGCGTGGTGAAATAAGGCAAGTTGAGAACTGCCCGGTTTTACAGAAGAAAAGAAAACAAACTTAATTCTTGATTCATCGTCATCATCATCATCAGCCTATCGCAATCCACTGCTGGACATAGGCCTCTCCCAATGCACGCCACTTTTATCGATTTTGGGCTTCTCGCATCCAGCTCCTGCCAGCCATCTTGCGCAAATCGTCACTCCACCTGGCCTGTGGGCGTTCTACACTACGTTTGCCCAGACGCGGTCTCCACTCAAGAACTCGTTTTCCCCAACGGTTGTCGGTTCTGCGGCTAATATGGCCAGCCCACTGACACTTTAGCTTGCTGATCCGGTAGGCTATGTCGGTGACGTTGGCTCTCTGCCGGAACACATCATTCCTGATGCGATCTCTTAGAGAAACATCGAGCATAGCTGTTTCGATAACACACTGAGCGACTTAACTGTACCGTAAGTATTTAGGCCCTGTCGGATCGACGACGATGAGAAGACTCGACTCCCACACTCCGCCAACCCAACTGAATTCTTCTGTTCACCTCGTCCTCGAAGTTGTTTCTACCTAACTGTACTGTGTGGATTTGGTCTAGCCGAGCATAGCCCTTTCCATAGCACGTTGAGCGACTTTGAACTTGTAGACCAGCCGTACCGTAAGTATCCACGTTTTGGCTCCGTATGTCATGACGGGTAGGACGCACTCATTAAAGACTTTCGTCTTAAGGCACTGTGGGATCGACGATGAGAAGACTCGACGTAGCTTCCCAAACGGTGCCCAACCCAACTGAATTCTTCTGTTCACCTCGTCCTCGAAGTTGTTTCTACTACTAGTTGTTTCTTACTACAATGTCAGACCAAAGACATAAAAGCAATAAACTATATGGTGTTGCCGAATCAACCATAATTTTCGGTGACCCGACCCAGTACTCAAATATTTTTAACTTTCTAACACTTATTTAATTCAACAAGTAACTTTACAGCTTATCTAGTCAGTTATATAAGCCAGTCTGATGTAATACTCGAGCACTCATGACTAACCCTGTTATTTCTGAATAGAATTTCTCATAAAATTTCTAATTCATTCTAAGCTATGCACAGCCTTGCGATAAAAAAAATTGAAAACGATCGTACTCTCAGGATATTACGCTGATGGAGAACCATTCTACGATAAATCGTCGCTTACATACACGCCATCTGTGCTAGAGAAAAGGGCATAGGTGTCTTGCATTTTGAAAAAAAATTGTTTCTAAGAGATATGTGAATTATGTAACATAATCTACATAACCAGTTAAGCTGGATGTAAAGATAGTATTAAATACTGCCTTTTGAGCACCAGCTCGTAAAATCTTTAGAAAATAATTAATTTATACCGAGGCTCAATAAGTATTGAACTTTATTAAATTCCCAGTATGAACTAGGCAATTTTGTTGAAGCATTAGGCTCTACAGCTTTATGCACTAAGAAAATCGATTTAATTGTAAGGACAGACACAAATGAAGTCATAATATTACGAAACATAGAAACAGTGGTTTGTTGTTTGACGCATCCCGACGTAAATCATCAACATGGAGAAATCCATTTCTAGAAGTATCAACAGTATTATAACAACTTAGAATGCTGTCGATACTACTAGATATGGTAGCACTAGACCACATGGGCTCAGATTCGCCATTAATGAAGATGGAATTTGCACTTTGTGGCAAAATACCGTCGTAAGAGCCGACTAAGGGAGCAAACTACGCATCTACAATAACACTGCAAAGACAAGGAAAACTTGACACAAATCCTATGCCAACTCCATGAGAGGCCTATGTCCATCAGTGGACTATTAAAGGCTATTGATGATGATGATGAGTACACCAAAGTTACTAAAATAGTCTTTCAGTAACTATACTATAAGATGATTTTTTTATTATAATTTATACATATAGTACTGTTACTTTTCATAATCAAATAGAGAATTTTGGTTTATATTCTATTCAAGTTGCCATCCATACGTTTCTATCCACGTTTCGTTTGTTATAGCTTAAGAAACTTTTCAATTTAAAAATGAGAACAGATTAACTTTTTAGTACTAATGGGGACGGAAATGAACACGTTAGGACCCTAAAAAGTGAATTACAAACTACACTACACTAAACAAGAGAAATATGTCAAAGAACAACCCCACCAGAACATTTTTGTGTAAAATATTGCCAAGACGAGATAACAGGGCTCGCACTGTCAAAAAGTTATAGAGCTGAACTTCTTACTCTACACGCCCTAATTCTATAAGCTATAACTTCACAATCTCTACACCTTAGTCAAAATATATGGGTTGGCCATTTCCTTACTACAAGAAATATTGTATAATAGTAAAGTAATACAACAACAAACAGTGTTTTTTTTTTGTTTTTTCCTAAGAACAACCCTCTCAATTTTTCCGTTGTTTGTGTACTAATACAAGCTTACTTAACTCAGCGTTCTAATAGTTCAGGAAGTGTCCTCAGAATTTTGACGTTCATCAGTGAGTCAGTGACGAAATCGGGGTTTTTTAGATATAAATTAATCTAAAGTAAGTATTAGAGCTATGCGATTAAAGCTTTATATATTTAAATAGTGCACGTTTAACATCATATCCCGAGAATTTCTTTAATCTGGTGTAATTCAAACCCAAGTTATAAGGGTTCAAAAAACCGAAGAAACCCTTAGAGATAAAGTAGGTAGTGTCCCTGCGCTTCGCTTGGCTCGTCTAGGCGGTGGCACTACGGTGCCACCTGAAACAACTACTACACTTAATTGTTAACTAGAAATCAAATCGATAACAGTTTTAATTATATAGTAGTATTAGCTGTTAAAACTAGTAATTATCAGAACCTTTTAATCCTTTGCTAACAGCAAAGGATTAAAAGGTATATAAAAACATATATAAAAATAAACAATTCTTGTGGAAAACAAAGAAATAACCGTAAAAGTTTAATTACACAGAAAAAACTAATCAGAATCTGGACTTAATTTTTTTTGCCCAATGTAAGTAACAACTACATATAAATACCTCAGTAATGATTTAATTGTGTAAGAATAAGTACTCTTCGCGTATTCAGATTACTCATTCATAATCAGACCCAGTCTGTTCTAACAATTCATCTCTTCACCCATCACTGAAGAAGTTTCATATGCACAAAGGACGAATAAATCAAGTAGTAAAATGGAAACCAACTTCAATGAGCTCATGTGTATGGTATGTATGATTATATCTCTTAAAATGTTGGTTGAGTGTTTTTAAAAAAGAAGATGCACACAGAGATTGAAACAAATATTATTAGATTATGTTCCTGTTATAACGGTTACTTTTCTACAACGGAATATCAAATACTGTAATGTAACTCTTCAGCAGTAACAACTTCGATATTATTATTAATGATATATGATTGGAAGAGTGTAATATTGGGCAAACGAACTGATGCGCTCATAGAAATTTTCAACTCAAGAGACACAAGTGTAAAACATTGATTTTGTTTCCTCAATCCCGAAACTAAGCAATAATCTTTAGTACAGAAATCATGTTTCATCCGTTGTGACAAACTGTCTTAAAAAGCCATAAGGATCAGCGTTAAATCTTTCACACTATTGCTTTGAAATATCAAGGCTGTGTTTCATTTGAGATTCCGGTACCCACCGCGCGGACACTTCTCTCATATTCAAATGATCTTTTATTATAGACTAGCTGATACCCGCGACTTCATTGGCGTGGAATTGGAAAAGCGCTGCTTTAGTGGGTTCAATTCCCGATCGGGAAAAATTTTATGGGAGTTTTCTGATAGAAAAAATAGCCTAAGTAACTCCTTATATAGGCAGCGCAGCCGCAGCAGCAGTATCGTGCAAATAACCGTATTAGTATATAAAAAAGGAAAAAA